AGCAGGGGTCTTCAAACTTGGCCTTTATGACTTGTGGACTTCAACTCCCAGAATTCCTCAGCCTGCTGTAGAGGGAAGAAAATCATGATCAACCAACTTTTTTTCTCATCTAAAAGTTCATTAAAATGGCCAAACAGTGATGAATATTTTCAGGTTCCTTTGAAAGCAATCCAATTTCCATGAGAGTATATACAGGTAGTCCTTGACTTAAGATTATAATTGAGCTCAAAAATTCTGTTGCTGAGTAAGACATTTATTAAGTGAATTTTGCCTCCATTTTGCTTTTCTTGCCACATTTGTTAGGTGAATCCCTGCAGATGTTAAGTTAGTAACACGGTTATTAAATGAATCTAGCTTCCCCATTGACTTTGCTTGTCAGAAAGTTGGAAAAGGTGATCACATGACCCCAGGATACTGCAACCATCATAGATATGAGTCAGTTTCCAAGCATCTGAATTTTGACACTTGACCATGGGAAGAGTTCTACTGAAAGAGTTTACAATAGTGCAATGGGATAAATAATGCAACACATGATTTTAAGAAGAGAGTTCCTTGTATTGTATTGGCCTCCAATTTTGCTACCTTAACTATGAAGCACTTTTCTGAAATTATAATAAAAAAAGAAAATGAACATTAACAGCTGGATCCCATTATGTGTGTTAGTTCACCGATTGATAAGAATTCAGGAGGCAGTTTTGTAAACAGCCACCTGCTCCTTTGTTATTGGTGAAAAGAATTGCCTTCTTGTTGGTTCACAACAAAGCTATTAGAGAGGAACTAAGAAAAACACCACCAATAATGCACTGGGAGATAAATTAGTTCGACACTCAGAATACCTCAGTTCTAGAATTCTGGTAATCCTTTTTCATCTTGATAGATGGTGTTAAAGAAGATCCTGTGAGAATCTTGCTTGGAAGAATTACTTTGGGTTGAGGTAGCTGCCAAGGAGCTTGACAATACACTTATCTAATACATTTTATAGTATTTAATTTGGTGAAGCACATTGTCTGGTAAGTGTGCATAGGCTACAACTTAAAATTTGATATAGACAAATCCACCGATTTAAAAAGATGTATGCAGAGCTCTAGGCTAGATTGGAAAGTTAAAAAACACTGGCACTGATGCAAGAAAACACCAAGCCCAGAGAGCACCAAAGACCTCATAGTTCTCCTCATCTTCCTCTCTGCACCTCCCAATCCCCCTAGCACTGATTATGTTTCCTAGTTGGGTAATGAAATGTTTGCAAGAAAACAACCAAGCTCTGAGCACCAAGGACCCCCTCATATCAGCTCTGAGCTACAAATACTCTCCCTTATTAGGTAAAACACACAACAAATTTATTCCAGAATGACAAATGTGATGTTGCCAAATACTTGCATAGTCACCAAACGTTTCCTTTTATACAGGTGTCAAATTGCATGATATATAAAAGCAGAGTTTAGCAATTTAATCTCAATGTTGGAATTGTTTAACAAATATATAACAGTAAAATCTAAGTAAAAATAAAAGTAGAATCAGGATGATCTCTTTCTATGAATCTAATAGGTTATGTCATAGCTTGTGACAATGTATATAGAGCAGTATTTTTATGCAATATTTTTTTTATTTTGAAGATAAACTTATAGGTTTACTAGGCATATTTTGAAGGAAGCAGCCAGGTGCCAGAACAATCACAAAAGGGCAATGAAGCTCTCTTTGCTTCATCCAGCCAGGCTGGTCTAGAGAAAGAGTGACTCTCAGTGCCAGTTATGAAAATTACACCCTAAAAACTATTGGCAGATGCACTTAAATGATCTAACAAATAAAAAAAATCTTAATCTGTGGCTCTCTATTGCCATTTCAAATCTGTGAACTAATTGGGAGGGATTTATCTCTATGCAAAGATTCATTGGATCACAATACACCAGCTATGAATCATGATTTTGGAAACAGAAGAGTTTCAACTACAGAATAAACCTTTTTGTCTTTCGTGGCTTATTTCTTGAATTGAGCTACTGTATATCTTTTAATTTACCATATGGAAGGAAAGACATTTTTCTTCCATGACTTGGCATGGGAAGGGAAGTAGATGGGAGCTTCTACAGTGTACATGAATATAACCTCAAAATGAAAGGAGTTACCAGATTAAAATGTCATTAAAATGTCAAAAAATGATACATTACAACTGCATGTATATATGGAAAACCATAGTTGTGTATGTCACAGTAAATTTTTCTTCTGTACTTAATAATTGATCATAACCGCTCTAACATGGCACCAAAAATGAAGATACTAATCCATTCAGAATGACAGCTTTTGGTCTATTCTTCTGTTTTTAGCAAATGGTGATTATGGTCGTTCTTTAACAGTCCTGTTTCCTTGAGTAGTAATCTCCTTTATGCTGAATTAAAATAGTATTGTCTCTCTGGGAAAAATACCAGTGGTTCTCAACTTATGATCACAAGTGAACCCAAAATTTCTGTTGCTAGGTGAGACACTTAAGTGAATTTTGCCTCATTTTATGACCTTTCTTGCCATAGTTGTTAAGTGAATCACTGCAATTGTTAAATTAGTGATACGGTTGTTAAGTGAATCATGCTCCCCCATTGGCTTTGCTTGTGAGAGGGTCGTAAAAGATGATTTACATGACCCGGGATACTGTGACCATCATAAATATGAACCAGTTGCCAAGCATCCAAATTTTGATCACGTGACCCTGGGGATGCTGCAATGGATGTAAGTGTGAAAACTGGTCACAAGCCACTTTTTTCAGTGCCGTTGTAACTTTGAACGGTCACTAACTGAACTGCTGAAAGTTGAGGACTACCTGTAACAGAAAAGTATCATGGAATGTATGAGTGGGTGGGGACCTTACAGATCTGGACCAGGCCCTGCTTAGTTTGGGAATCCATTAACTTTTTCTTGACAGAAGACTATCTAGCCCCTATTTGGAAACCTCTGGCTAGGAGGTTAGGTTGGGTCTTTCTTTGATTAGTTTCCATCCATTGCTTCTTGTCCTGCCCTCAGGAGCTTTGGAGAAGAGATTGTCCCCTTCTTCTTTGTGCTGGACTAAGAGCGCTTCAAGGTCCATCTACAGATGGGATAGTGGGGAAAGGGCTGCACTAGGCTGGATGCACTAGTATTTGAAGCGTAGCCTCACCTTGCACTATAAAGTGGTGTTCACTTCACATGTTCTTAAAACTATCCCTCTCTCGATGCAGCCTGCATTTGTTTGTTTTTTTCTTGCCTAAGTATAAACCCTGAATTGCATTTTGCTGGACAGCCAGTGTTTATGTCTGTTAAGGGGGTCACGTGACCCCAGGGCATTGCAACCCTCATAATAAATAGGAACCTGCTGCCAAGCATGAGTTTTGGTCACGTGATCATGGGGATGTTGCAAAGGTTGTAAGTCGAGGACTACCTGCATCCCAGGTGACCCTTGGGCGGCTCAGTAGGAAGGGGCTGCCTGAGAAGGGGGGGGAAAACCAGGCTCCTGTCCTGACTTCGCAGCGGGGGCCTCAGGTGCGCCCAGCCCACCTCGCAGGATTGTCGCTACGGGGGAAATAAATAACAGGCAGACGAAGCACCATCGAGCTCTTGAAGGAGAGGCGGGGCGGAGAAAGGAGGCGAGCCTGTGGGGCTGAAGCGATCAGAGGTCCGGCTTCCAGCTCCGCCCGGCCTACCTCACAAGGCTGTCGTGATGGTGGGCGGAGCACCTCGCGGCCCGGGAATAACAAGGAGCCCCAAAACTCGCGCCGCCCCTGAGAGGCCAAGGGTGGGAACAAGGCCCAGCTTTTGCCTCAGAAGTTGGCGGAAACCGTCACCGGAAGTGGCGACGCCCTTTTCGCGCGGCCCCGCCCCTCTGCGCGCCCCCTTTCTGTCAGCCCGGCCCCTCCTCGGCGATGGCCAATCAGAGGGGCGGGAAGGAGCGCGGCCCGGCAACGGAAGGCGGGACGGGCGGGGCCCCGCCTTCTCGCGGAGATGTTGCGGACCGAGAAGGTGCTGCTGCTGCGGAGCCTGCAGGGCCGCTCCGTGCGGGTGGTGCGCGAGCACTACCTGCGGCCCGACGTGCCCTGCGGCAGCGCCCTCTGCCGGGCGGGCTGCCCCCGCGGTGCGTGAGAGCGGGGGCGGAGCCTCGGGGAACGCGTGGTGGTCGTGTGAACGCCGTTCGCGGCCTTCCCTGGGGCGGGCGGGGCTTCTGAACGCCAGGGGGGGGTGGAGGAGCCAGGGGGGGGGGCTGGAGCGACGGGGATTTCTGTGCCATCTCAGAATGTTAGCTTCGTGGGGACAACGGGTCGTGCGAACGCGGCTGTTTGCTCGGAAGGGGGAAGAAAATCCCTGCTGGTGCTGAGAGCCCTTCTTTCAGACGCAGGGAAGGCGCTTAATGCCCAGTGTCATTACTTCTCATTGAAGGGAGAGCGGTCTTCGGGAGGAAAGTCAAAACGCATTAAAAATAGGCTATTAATGCCCCTTCGTTGCTAGAGTGAGCTGCATTTCAGCCTTTTTCTTTCGGTTCCTGATGGTCATTCCTAAGCAATGAATTCGCCCCAAGAAAGCAATAGGAAGAATTTATTCCAAGTTTTCGTTGCGGATTTCGAGAGGAAGTGGCTCCATACCAAGCAGATGTAGCTGGAAGAAGGATCAGATTTAAAGCTTTGCTTTTTGCACAATTAGAGGGCATGAAAAGGCCTTACAAGCTGTACCTAACTCCACGTGTTCAATACCCCTAATCATTGCCCTACTACGGTCTTCCCTTTGTCATTTTTTTAAAAAAAAACCCAGAAGTCATGGCTAGTCATACTGTCCCCTGCTGTGTTCCCAAACTGGTCCTCAGTTTACAAGTTTTTTTAAGTTTAAAACTGCATAATTCCCCCCTATTGTACACTTTTACTTCACTTTCTCTCTCCCTTCTTCGGGCTGTTTCAGATGGGAAGTTGCTCTCCGATGATGTCACTCACTATGTCGTGCCTGACTGGAAAGTGCTTCAAGATTACCTGGAGATTCTGGAATTCCCTGAGCTGAAGGGGCTGGTTTTCATGCAGACAGCCTGTCAAGCGATGCAGCAGCAGAGAGGCCGCAGGTATCCAGTTTTCTCCGGGAGGGTTTAGTTCACAAGCTAATGCAGTCCTAGGTTGCATCAACAGGGGCATAGCTTCAAGATCGCGTGAAGTAATAGTGCTCTTTATTTATGTTATTTATTTTATTTATTTATCAAACTTCTTAACCGCCCATCTCCGTCACAAAGGAGAGGTTTGCCGCACCAATGAGGGGTCGTCACCGTAATACAAAAAAGGACATTGAGACCCTAGAAAGGCTGCAGAGAAGACCAACAAAGGTCTGGAGGGGTCTGGAGGCTAAACCATAGGATGAACGGTTAAGGGAGCTGGGTATATCTTAATGAAGAGAAGGATTGGGGGGGACGTGATAGCTGTCTTTCAGGACTTGAAGGGCTGTCACAGAGAAGATGGGGTCAACCTATTTTCCAAAGCACCAGAGGGCAGGACAAGAAGCAGTGGGTGGAAGATCATTAAAAAAGAGATCCAACCTAGAACTAAGGACAAATTTCCTATCAGTGAGAACAATTAATCAGTGGAACGGGCTTACGTCTGGAAGTTTGAGAGTGCTCCATCATTGGAGGTTTTTCGAGAAGTCATTTGTCTGAAATGGTATAGGGCGGAGGTAGGCAACCTTGGCTCTTTTATGACTCGTGGACTTCAACTCCCAGAATTCCTGAGCCAGCCATGCTGAGGGGGAAAGGGAGAGGTTTCCAAGCTGAGCCAGGCTGGCTCAGGAATTCTGGGAGTTGAAGTCCACCAGTCATAAAAGAGCCAGGGTTGCCTACCCCTGGTATAGGGCCTCCAAGGTCCCTCCCAACCTTATTCTGTGTTCTGCTTTTCCACCAAGAGCCAAGAGGGGTGAAGGTGTTGGAATAGAGAAATCCAGGTTCAGTTTTGCTGTCAGCCTTACAAATTCACTGGCTTACTTGGGGCCAGGTACTGTTCCTCAGCTACACCTACCTGACTAGGTGGTTGTTGTGTGTGAAGGGGGGGATGGAGGGCAGGATGGGATGGTATGTATGTGTTGCCCTGATCTTCTGAAGGAAAGGCAGGATACATCCAACATCTTCTGTCATTTCAGTTTTCTCCTAGAATTGATGGATGTTTCTGTTCTCACACCTAGATCCCTAATCTAAAGTACTTCCATTCATTTGCAATCTGTGGTACAGGTTTTTCACTGATGATCAAGTTAAGCACGCATGCATCAATCAATCAATTCATAATATATTGTTATTAAAATAAAAAAATGAAGATTTGCAGACCCTTCTGTGTTCAATCTGCCTCGCAAATTAATAGACATGCTTAAAGTCTCATATTCTGTCAGATTGTAGTTAACGGATTTATTTCAGTTTTACAGTGGCATTGGAAAGGCCAAGATATACAGAATCAAACTGTAAAAAAGTATACTGCAGTTTTAGTGTTTCTTTTTTAAAAAATCGATTGCAAAGGTTAATAATATGCCCTAGCGATTCTATGAATACATCCGTGCTCTTAAATGCCCTTCAGACCTGAAAGGTTAATCAGGGATTTTTTCCAGTCGACATTAATTATAGCATCATTATCTATGAATATATTCCAGAGGTAATGGAGGATTTTAATCCAAAGTCATAATAAAAGCAAGTTAATAAAAGTGCTTAAATTCTTTTTGCCACTGGTATTTTTTATTTTCTTTTTTTTATTGTCAAATGCTCCCTGGATTATGAAAATGATTCCGTGTTATGCCTGTATAATACTTCTTAAATCTTTTTCATTCATCACACACAATCTGTCATTTGCCCCCCTGCACAACCTTCCTGCCATCTGACAGATGGGGTCAAATATGCCTCAATAACTTGGAAGACACGGGTGTGAGGGCATCTTTCAGTGGCATATATGAGCTATTTGACTGGCACCTTATTCACATGAATTCTTATGCAAATCCTCCTTCATTTACTGACCGTTTGGTTTGGATTTAAATTGATTTCGTTTCATTTATATGACTGCCCGTTGCAACTACGGGTAGTCCTCGACTTAACAACCATAACTGAACCCCAAATTTCTGTGGCTTAAGTGAGTTTTGGCCCGATTTACGAGCTTTCTTGCCACAGTTGTTAAGTGAATCACTGCAATTAAGTTAGTAACACAATTGTTCAGTGAATCTGGCTTCCCCCTGGACTTTGCTTGTCAGAAGGTCACCCAAGGTGTCCCCATGACCCTGGGACACGGCAACTGTCATAAATATGAACCAGTTGCCAAGCATCTGAATTTTGATCACGTGGCCACGGGGATGCTGCAGTGGCTATAAGTGTGGAAAATGGTCGTGACTTTTTTCAGGGCCGTTATAACTTCGATTGGTCAGTGAATGAACTGTTGTAAGTTGAGGACTGTCTGTACATGACTCTGAGTGGCTCATTAGCAGACTTGGGCAAACGCTTCTAAAACGTGCCCAGCTGCAGCCTCGGCTGGCAGGAGCAGCCCTTCCATTGACCGCACAGACTGGCAGGCAGAAGCAGGCCCTGGCGTTCCGGTTGGCAGGGACAGGAGGGGTGGCTGGTGAAATGGCCGGAAGGGCAACACCTGACCAGCCACCTGTTCCTCACTGAAGCGGTTGATGCCCTCTGATAAATCAGTGCCACAAGATGAAAGGCAGATATAAAACAGAGCACAGAAGAAAGCACAGTCAAGCAACATTGTCACCTTGCATAATTCCTTTTGAGATAGCTGTTCCATAATTCCAAGGTACTACGTTGTTTCTAAAAAAAAACAAACTTTGCCACTGCTGTTCTTAGCGTAGTTTAACATAACATATTATCTGAAGGTCCGTATATATCCAGATCTCCTGGCAGCAGAAGAACCGTTGGTGGCTGCAAATGATTTGAGCAGGAAGTTCTAAACATGAGGGATGGCTGTTTCGGGTCTTAAATAATAAAGTTGTTCTTCCTCAAACCGTGTCTTGTCTTGTACTTCTTCTACAGGCAGTATAATAAACTGCGGAATTTAGTGAGGGATGCCCGTCGTGATTGCATTATATTTTTTAATGAATTCCAGCTGCTTTCTTATTTGCCACGAGAGCGGGGAGAATTGCTGGAGAAATGGCAAACGAGGTACGTGCTCCACATATAACACAGTCCTGAGTCGTGCAACTTTTCTTGAGCGATGACATGTTCATAGTCATCGGCCTGGCCCAGACCTGGCCTCTGTGTGTGTGTGTGTGTGATCATTGTCTTATACATGTAGTCCTCGACTTACGACCACAATTGAGCCCGGAATTTATGTCATTTGAACAAAGCAGAGAACTGCCTATGTGGATTCTGATTGGGGTAACACAAAAATAAGATCTGCATTTTATGTGTTTTACTCTATTTTTAACATATGGCCTTACCATTGGTTAGTATTTTATATTCTGGATTCTGATAAGACCTAATCAATGAAGTATTACAGTAAAGTAATGTGGAAGGAACTCCCTTTAGTTTTCAATGAACCCTTCAAGGACTGCATAGACTTAGATGGTTGTGGCACGTTCTCAAAAGGCAGACATTAAGTCACACAAATTGTGGGATCAGAGCAAAATGAGAAGTTGTAACATGACACCCACAGATAAATGTGAACCACTGATTCTCCTAGGAGTATTTACAACGCCGCCGTGTGGTACTATAATCACTTTTCGGGCCAGATGCCCATTGTCATGGTAACTGAGGACGAAGAAGCCATACAACTGTTTGGCAGTGAAACGGAAGGCGTCTTTGTGATCTCATTCAAGGTAATGTTTTTGTGCTGTTCTTTAAGTAGTTCTCTTAACTACTTTGGGACTAATTAGGACCTGGATTCAAAGTTCTGATGGCTGCCCCAGCCAACCCGACTCAACTTTGGGTGCTCTGCATCACAGACATATTTAATACATTTGAAGCATCCTGGCACCAACCCTTTTTTTTTTTTTTGTACACCCAGAATTACTTGGATAACTTCTGGCCCGATTTAAAAGCCACTCACGAGCTTTTGGATTCCATACTCCATTCGCGGCGTGAACGGGAGAACGAAAGCCACGAAAACAGTGGGAAGGAATACCCCGAGCATCTCCCGACGGAGGCCCTGGAAGCTGGAATCAAATCAGGACTCTACATCCAGGTAACGTTTACTATGCACACACAGAAAACTGAAATAGCAGAGAGGAAATTACCTATTTCTGGCTCACGGCCAGAAGAAGCTTGACACAGAGCCTTTTAGTGTGAGCTTACTTTAAACTTCCCAGCATCTTTAAAATTTGTAGACCAGATCTGGCAATCTGGCCAAGCAGATTGATTTTGCTAGAGTCAGCTACAAATACCCAAAGACCTATACAGAATAATAAGCCATCCAGGTTTTTTTTCCTGGAAATAATGGTAGAAATGAAGAGGGTTGGAGATGTCCAAATGGGTATGGGAAACAGGAGCACTTGATATGTGTTTAATCTCTTGCTCTTTTCTCTCGATAATATAAAATGGTGATTGTGTGCAAAAAGGGCCCAGATTCTTGCTGCCGTGTCTAGTAGAATAACAGAATTGGACGAAAAACCAAAATCCACAAAACAAAGATCTGGAGTGCTTAGCAGCAATTTATTTTAGATAACTTGAAAGTGGCCTGACAACTAGTAATAAAAAATAGCCGTTTATGACTCTTTAAAATGACACAGCGAAGCAACGGTAATAAAAGGAGCACAGCTGGCCAGATAAAATGAATAACATATGGATTAACTGATGGTATTTGTTTGCCACCAGTGAGTCTTCAAAAATGGGGAAAAGCTAGTAGGAAGGAGGCCAATTAGATTTATTAAGCCACAAGGGCCAGCGTGGTGCGCTGCTTAAGGGGTTGAATTAAGAGCAGCAGAAGTTCATGTCCAAATCTTTTCTCGCTATGAAAACTCAGTGACTTTCAGTGTCGGTCTGTGTCTAGTCCAGCCTAGGGAAAATTAGAGGCACAGGTTCAACTAGAAAACCTCCAAGGTCCCTTCTAACTCTGTTATTCTGCTATTTTATTCATTTTTGTAGGGGATCTTGAATGTGAATAAGCACAGAGCCCAAGTAGAGGCATTCATGAGATTTCAAGGCACTAGCAACAAAGACAAAGGTGAGGACAAATTCAGTATATTCAGTTTGGCTCTTATGCCAAGTTTGATTTTGCATTCCTTATGCGGGCTAATTTTATTTTATTTTATTTTATTATTTTTAATTATTATTTTTATTTAATTCCTCAGTTCATGGCCTAACTAGGCTGCCTGAAATGAAAGGCTGGTTTCATGGGTAGAATCTGCTTCTGACGATGCTCCTTCTACATTTTTCTGACCTTTGTCAGTCTGTTTTCTAGCAGATGTTATGGTGGGATCAGTTGAATCTCAGGATCATTTTGGGAATAGGTTCCCCAATCTGTTGAGGATACTTGAACAGGAATGGATTGGATTGGGATAAAAATTATAAATAATATCCTGCAATGTTGGGCAGCTTTTAAAAAAAAAAAAACCACGAGCCAAGTGTATCGTATCTTAACAGTTACTATGTTAAAATGAAGTCTTTTTTGCATATTTAACTTTTTTCATTATTCATATGCAGCTTTAATTAATTATTTGTTATTTAATGGATCATCTCTTATCCATGAATTAGCAAACTGAAGCAGATTGAAAATCTCCTGGTTTTTTTTCTCCTCTGCAATGCCAGAGATATTAGATCTCTTGATCCATTTTCTTCTTCTTTGGTACCCAGATCTCAAGACGGATGTTCTCATTTACGGCACAAAAGCCCGGAATAGGGCAATCCACGGGGATGTGGTGGCAGTGGAATTGTTTCCCCAGAGGGAATGGAAAGGACGGACGGCGGCCCTCGGAGAGAACGAGAGTGAAGAGAAAGCTTCTGGGGAGGTTTACTGTGAACCCATGCCGACAGGTAGGAGGCAGGAAACAAGATCTGTTTAGACCGGATTTGCATTTTGATTGGCTGCAAGCCTCAGTTATACTCAGGTCTTCAGAGAGATGATATTGAGGTGTATAAGACTGGGGTTGGCTACGGTATGGTGCTTAATTATGTTAGGTGTGCACTCTAAACTCCTCGTCCGACTGTAAGTCTTGGAGCTGCTCAGAGTCTTCCTCTGACTCTGATGTCACTCCAGGCCCCTCCTCCTCCGATTCCTCAGACTCAGCTGCCGGATCCACTGTCTGGTGAGGAATCACAACACTTCCCGACACAAGATTTCCCATTCGGTAGATGATGCCTCCTTCAAATGATATTCTTCTGCAGCTCCTTTCTGCCCTCCATGTACAACTGGCGTCGGTTTTCCTTCTAGGCAAAGTGGTGGGCATCCTGCAGAAGAACTGGCGTGAGTACGTGGTCACTTTCCCATCCAGGGAAGAAAATCACTCCCACGGCAAAAGCGCGCAGAAGGTTCTGGTGACCCCTTGGGATTACAGGATTCCAAAGATCCGCATAAGCACTCAGCAAGCCGAGGCCTTGCAGGTGAGCCGTTATTTGGCATTCAAAGTTCCCTCGGCATCCCGTGTGTCTGTGCGAATGTATTTTCGGCTGTTCTGACCCATCCGATGTGGTTTCACATCAGGATTTCCGGGTTGTCGTGCGTATCGACTCTTGGGAATCGTCCTCGCTGTACCCCAATGGACATTTTGTGCGGGTTATCGGCCGCATAGGAGATCTTGAAGGAGAAATACAAACCATTCTGGTGGAGAATACCATTTCAGTTAGTCCTTTCTCCGAAGCACAGGTAAGATTTTCTTGTTCTTATTTTGCTTTGGCATTCTTTATCACATTTAAATTTATTTATTAAATTGAACATCGAATTAACAAATACTAGGGGCTGTGCACAGGTAGTCTTCAATTTACAGCCGTTCATTTAATGACCATTCAAAGTTAAAAACAGAGCTGAAAAAAGAGACGGTTTTTCACGCTTACGGCCCTTGCATCATCCCCAGGGTCAGGTGGATCAAAATTCGGGTGTTTGGCATCTGATTCATATTTATGACGGTCACAATGTCCCGGGATCACGTGATCCCCTTTGGCAACCTCCTAAGCGAAGGTTGACTTTCAGACAGCGGTTGCTCATTGTCTCACTGTTTATTTCTCTAGATGTGTGAGATGCCCACTCTCCTCCCAGAAAAGCCGTGGGAAGTCACTCCAGAAGAGCAGCAAAAGCGCCTCGATCTGAGAGAGACCCATTTGGTCTTCAGCATTGACCCCAAAGGCTGTGAAGATGTGGATGACGCCCTCTCCATCCGTCTCCTCCCCAATGGCAACCTGGAACTGGGTGTCCACATTGCCGATGTAACTCATTTTGTGGCAGCCAACTCTTACACCGATATGGAGGCCAAAGCAAGGTAGGCTTGTTTCTGTTTAGCAGCCAGGAAAATATGCCAAGAGTAAGAAGAGACTGGACAGCCATTTGTCTGAAATGGTATAGGGTTTCCTGCCTGAGCAGGGGGTTGGACTAGATGACCTCCAAGGTCCCTTCCAACTTTATTATTATTATTATTATTATTATTATTATTATTATTATTATTATTATTATTATTATTATTATTATTATTATTATTATTATTATTGGAAGAACACATACTGAGAATATCGTGCTTAAGCCCTGGATACTGTAACGTAGGGAAGACAAAGAGGGCCTGAGGGCTTAACTCAGGGGTAGGCAACCTCGGCTCTTTTATGACTCGTGGACTTCAACTCCCAGAATTCCTGAGTCAGCTATGCTGACTCAGGAATTCTGGGAGTTGAAGTCCACGAGTCATAAAAGAGCCGAGGTTGCCTACCCCTGGCTTAACCACAACAGTAAACTGACTCAACAAAGATTAACGTTTTATCATTCATCCAAATGCTAATTAAATGAAACCTACACCTGTTAATCTATATAAATCATTTTATATTCAATAACAACAAAATCTGAATACCTCTGAATATGTTACCTGGAAATGGTCAGGCAGTTGCCAGGAGTCAAGACTGACTGGAAGGGTTAAAAAGATCATGGTGCTAGCAGGTGTATCTATTTTTTTAAGCTTCAAGATGTATAGTAAGAGAAAAATTATTGAGTACTTTTCCTCCCGATTTCTTAAGGGCTACTACTTACTACTTAGCCGATCGTCGTTATGACATGTTGCCTGCCATCTTGAGTGCCAATTTATGCTCTCTTCTTGGGAACATGGACCGGTGAGTTTTAAGCCTTAGCAGCTCCTTGCATTGGAGAAGTTAAGCCAAGCCCCCCCCCCCCCGGCCTTTTCATCACTCTAACTCTGTGGGAACTATGACTCTAAATATATAAAAACTTGCAGTCTTTTAACTAAGAAAACACAAGGTGCTTCTTGCTGAGGGAATGACTGGGTTCCACCCAGTGCAGTAAAAGTTGGTTTTCCAGTACTGTTTGAAAAAATGATTTGATTGGATTCACACTTCATATTATTAGGTCCAAGCCTTGTTAGTACTGAAAAAAGCATTACCAGGAATACAAGCTCTGTCTTCATTATAGGGTTACAGTAGCAGAACTTTGCAAACTGAACATACTGTATTTTTCCCTAGGAACAGATTGGACAACCATTTCTCTGAAATGGTATAGGCCAGGGTCTCCTGCCTGAGCAGGCGGTTGGACTAGACAACCTCTAAGGTTCCTTTTAACTCTGTTATTCAATTCTGTTAAGAAGAGCTGTGGTGGCGCAGCGGGTTAGAATGCAGTACTGTAGGCTACTTCTCCTGACTGCCAACAGTTTGGCAGTTCGATCCTGACCCGCTCAAGGTTGACCCAGCCTTCCTTCCTTCTGAGGTCGGTAAAATGAAGATCCAGATTGTTGGGGGGCAATAGGCTGACTCTATAAACTGCTTAGAGAGTATTTGTTATAAATAAAACGCAACAGCAAGCATAGAAAAATAGTGTCCTTAAATCTAAGCAAAGTTTCTTCACCACATAGAAGAATCTTCATTGTACCTCCCAAGAGAGATCTAGCTGTCAGATCCTTTTTCTTTTTGTGCTCATCCCCGTTCAAAATTACATCCTTCCACCAAACTAGGACTTGGAAGTATGGAGTGATTGCTTTAAACGACATAGGCTACTTGTAAACTTTTTTCTGCATTCTTATTATTATTGTACAAAACATTGCTTGTAAATGTGTTCATCAGCGATGGTTTGAATATTTGTTTTCAGGTATGCCGTGAGCGTTATCTGGGAGCTGGACAAGGCTTCGTATGAAATAAAGAGAGTCCGGTACAAGAGAACCATCATTCGCTCTTCTTACAAACTCTTTTACGAGGCTGCCCAGGCTTTGCTAGAGGGAGACCTGACTGCTGCCGCCGAAATCCCGGAGCTCAAAAGCATGGAGGAAAATGCACGGAAACAGAAGTTAGAGGAACTGATATGGGCCATCGGAAAGTTAACGGACGTTGCCCGTCATCTCCGAGCCAAACGCAGCAGCTATGGAGCCCTGGAGCTGGAAGGGATTGAAATCAGGGTTCAGCTGGATGACAAGAAGAACATCAATGACCTTATCCCCCGCCAGCCACTGGAAGTCCATGAGACGATAGCCGAGTGCATGATCCTGGCAAACCACTGGGTGGCCAAGAAGATTTGGCAGGTGTTCCCCTACCAGGCGCTTCTTCGTCAGCACCCGCCACCCCGGCAGGAATTTTTTTCTGAGGTCCGAGAATGTGCCAGTGCAAAAGACTTTTCGATTGACACGTGGTGCGTAGATTGATTTTTTTATTTATTTAGCCAATGGCATATTATACACATTAACATTTCAACTAGATTAATAGAACCCAATACAATATACATGTCAAAAAGTGCTAGGTTCAGTTATTAATGTCTAGGCCAGGAGTAGGCAACCTTGGCTCTTTTATGACTCGTGGACTTCAACTCCCAGAATTCCTGAGCCAGCATGGCTCAGCTTGGAAACCCCTCCCTGGCTGGCTCAGGAATTCTGGGAGTTGAAGTCCACAGGTCATAAAGGGGCCCTAGTTACCCACCCCTGCTACATGGCATGGGGCAATTCAGAGGTGTAATTATAGTTTTTCACATTGATAGGTCTAACAAGGCATTAGCTGACTCTCTGGACAGAGCAGTGGATCCTTCTGACCCCTTGGTAAACCAACTGTTGAGGTCTATGGTCACTCAAGCCATGTCCAACGCGGTATATTTTTCAACTGGATCGTGTCCCGAAGAAGACTTCTTCCATTACGGTATTTGCTGTAATGCGGGTGACGTATCTGTTTCTTACTTCTGTGCATGGTCTTGTGGACTTCGGGCTTATTAGTTTCTTTCCATCTTAGGTCTTGCCCTAGATAAATACACCCACTTCACGTCACCCATTAGGAGATACGCTGATATAATTGTCCACAGACTCCTGTTAGCAGCCACCTCAACGGAAGAAGGACTCGGTATAAAAGACAGCTTGCTTGGCAATAAAGAACTTGAAGAGCTGTGCAGACATATCAACAACAGGAACCGGGTAAGACTGCAGACCAGTGTCCTTTTGTAGTAATTTATCCGTGCTTTAACAGAGAGAAGCATATCTGAGGTTTGAAAACTTCTTCGCTATAGCAATTCTGGAAATGTTCCAAAATGTTCCCAGAGACGGGCATGTGTCAGCGTTGACTCCTGCCTGGACAAGTGCAGCAGATTTCTTGGCAAGTATTTAAGGAGTTGCTCAAAGTCACCCAGCTGGCTTTGTGCCCAAGACGGGACTAGAACTCATGGTCTCCAGTTTCTAGCCTGCTGCTTTAACCACTACACCAAACTAGCTCTATTTTTTTCCTTTTTAATAGCCATGGTGGGTTTTCTATTTAAAATTACTGATTAGCTTGTTAGAATGGAGCAGACCAGCAGTTAGATACTGCTGCCAAAGGAACAAGATCCAAAGAAATGTCAGGCAGTGTTAGAGGTCCTGGATTTGACAATATCTGAGAGCGTGATTCTAAAATGTTTGGAGAAGGAACTCTCTGGCTAATCGCAGTTGCTTTCTTTGGAAAGGCTGCCCAGCATGCTCAGAAGCAGTCAACGGGGCTCTTCCAGTGCATGTACTTCAGCGACAAAAGTCCCGCGAGGGAGGAGCAGTGCTCAGCAGATGGAGTCATCTATTCCATTCGAACCAACGGGGTGCTCGTCTATGTGCCAAGGTGAGACATCTTGAGGATGGGTGAGGAAAGGCCGTGGACGTGACAAGGCCCTGGGAACCAAGGGCAGAATCTCAAGAAAGAAATTGTCCTGATTTCATTACAGTGAAAAAGAAACGTTTTGTCAAGGGAATGTCAAAAGATGAGGCAGCTAAACTTAGAAACTTGGGAAAAGACTCCATGGAGATCCCACGATTAGCTAGCAAATCTTTACACACAGTGACTGGTAACAGGGTCTGTGCCAAAGATAGCAAAAGATGCCATGGTTTAGACCTCAGTCCATGTAACGGCATGTGAGAATGACCTTGGAAGAACTGCAGCCCTAGACAATATCAAGCAAAAGGCATCTCGGCCCACAGAAGGAAAAGAGGTGTGGGAAGGGTCGTAGAAGGGACCCTCCAGTTCTCTGGAACGTCAGAGTAGGGGAAGGGAGAAGGTGCAACTGGACTTCCTTCTTTTTTTCCTTGAAAATGTTTCACTTCTCATCACAGAACTGAAAACTGAAGAAGCTTCTTGGATGAGAAGCGAAACGTTTTCCAGGAAAAAAAACCCAGTCCAGTTGCCTTTTGGAAAAAGCACCTTTAATACTCATGATTTATACTTCTTGTCTGGACCTTCTCAAAGGGCTGACATGTGTCTCTAGAGTAGGTTCTCCACGGCCGCTCCTTTGTGCATGCTCTGAGGAGTCTCTGATATGGGGTGTGTTTTCCTCCTCCAAATAAGGTATCTGGGATATGATCTTCAGGATGCCAATCCAGAGTGCTTTTTTCTTCAGCAGCCAATCTAGGCTTCTGTTCCTTTAACTTATGGCCCATGACTTCTATTTGATGCATCAGCATCCTGGCTATTAAAAATAAAGGTATAAAGGATCTTGCTTAAGTGTCAACCAAGCCCTTTCTCTTCCAGGTATGGTATTAAAGGGGCTGCCTATCTGAGGAACAAGGAAGGGTTGGTCATCTCCTACCCAACAGGTGGGGACTGTGAATGGCAACCTGGTTCTCTGCAGCGCTTCCCCACCAAAATTATTGCCAGTCCCACAGCTGGAGAGCCTGTGACTCTGAACCTCTTCGATCATGTGACCGTAAGTGATAAACCTTTACGATGAGGGTCCCCAGTCTGCAGCCCACCAGGAACCATGCAACACAAGCAACCGAAGCGCCATTCGCGCATGCACGGGATCCAGGCAGCGTGTGAAACCACACCCCTCGCCAGTCTGTGGAAAAACCTCCCTCCACAGAACCGGTCCCTGGGGTACAAAAAGGCTTGGGGTCGCTGCTTTATGACACGCCCCATCAGTTTATTTAGATGAGCGAGAGTATCAGCTGCCACCTTATGCTTGCTTGTGCTTCGCTACTATTCAGGAACAGACTGCCATGAACTCTGGGGAGGAGGGAAATGTAATGGGGAAAGCTTGGGGGAAATTGGAGGTAAGTTCTGTATCTCCTCGAGATGCTGCTTCAAGGTCACCTGGTATACCAGCTGCATACCAAAGTGTGCCTGGACTGTCCATTATGAAAACATCTTGCCTGAACCTCATTGGTAGCCCAGGGATGGGTGATGGGAGGTAGCTAAGGAGGGGGGGAGTTGAACTTAGGGATTTTGGCACACAATTCTCAGTTCTGGCTTTGCATTATTGCAATATGATTGACTTCTAAATAAACTATACCTTTCTCAGCAAAATGGGGCCAAGGATGTTTTCTGTTTAGGAGTTTACGCTGTGCCAGGTCCAACAAAGAGATTTACTCCAAGTTGTTTTTGCCCAGGTGAAAATCTCCGTACAGACATCTCGCAGCCATGCAGATAGGATCCAACTTCAGATCACAAGCTGCAAACCCTACCAGACCTCAGAAATGGAACCGTCTCAGAGGTCCCAGATGTCTAAAACAGATTTAATAAGGGAAGTCACAAAGACTGCAGAGGAAACTCAACTTGCACAGAATTTGGCCAAAGCAAACCAGGCAAAGGAAGGATTTGATGAAGAGTATCGGCAGACCCAATGTAGGAGCTTGTATCATTTGCTAGAAGAAATCAAGGATTTGTCTCTTTTGGACGTATCTGTGGACCGTGGAGCGTGAGACCTCATTTCACACGGCTTCCGTCCCAACCTCTTTTGTCAGCTTCCTTTTTTTAAAAGTTGTAATTTTATTATTACAATGTTGCTTGTCTTTAAAAAATGGAGATTCTATTTTAAGATTGCATTCTTAAATCCATTTATAGCAACTATTGGTAATGGAAGATATGCTTTTTGTCTTTTATAAATTAAATACAGAGAAGTGTAAATAGCTCTTAAGCACCTCAGGGAGTAAATGATGATGTGGCAGTTTAGTTCTTTAAAATAGTCCTGCTTGGTAATTTTGACTTAACTTACATTAAGTTAGCTGCTGAGAATTGAAGAGGAGGGGGGGAAAGACCTAAGTATTAGTTGTGACCTTGATGAAATGGGATATTGAGATTTTCCAAATCATCTCTTGCTTCTTTTAGTAAACAAAAATTTTAGTTCACTATTTCTGCATACCTTTCAGTCCATGCCTTTAGACCCAGAGGTCTGGATAGCCATTTTCTTCATGCAGAAGGCAATCATAGCATTTAACCAGCAACTGCAGCATTGGTGGATTTTTTTTTTCAGGTTGAAGCCTATATATTACTTCTGGTTTCAAAGATTTATTATTTTCATTACTGGTATAAAATAGAGGCAATTACAAATGTTTCACAATGGGAAAGTTATAAAAGATTTAAATTGTAGAAATATAGCATCATTTGACTTTTATGTGTCGTTTTCATTAACGTTTGCTGTAGAAATGTTGCTTTAAAGCTTAAAATGTTCTTCCACTGAAATGGAAACAGTTCTTTAAAACACTGGCATAATAGAACACACTGAAAATTATAACAGCTGCCAAATTAACCAGCCTCAACCTCTAAAGTTGCAGTAAAAACTAAACTATGCCATACCTATTCCACACAACTAAAAACACATTGATCTATACTACTTGCATGTTCTCGGTGGCTTGAAAAGGGACACCAGCTTTGTCTATGCAGATATCGTCCTTTTCCTGAGCTGGAATGATGCCGTATTCTTCGTTTGTAGGCAACTCTAAAGGAAACAAAAAGTTGGCTTTAAAAATAATCACTATTTGTGCATTAACTCTTTTCCTCTAGCATAATTACCATGGCACAGTTTTCCAGCTGGTCAATTGCTTCATGAGTTTTATGAAGTGAGAAAAAATCTCTTTAGTTGAAAATGGGAAATAATTATCACTAAGGGATCAAATACTTGCAGAAAATACTTGACTTTTTTTTTAAAAAAAATCCAAATGTACATACTGATTATTATAGATTTTCGTGGAAGACTATAACCAAGTCCAATAATGACCTATAATGACATGAATCTTAAGTCTGCCAACAATGTGGATTAAGCAGCCTGTAATTTTTCACTACTGTCGTTGCTCTCAAATGTCACTTGTAAACAGAGATCAGGTGCCCTTTTTCAAAAATCAAATCAAGAAGCATCAACTTCCAACCATAGCCTGAACCGGTGAGTTCTAGCAACACAAATAGGAACATTCCCTCCAGCCATCGCTGCATCAAAGTTCTACTTCCAGCATTATTTAAAACGAGACTCTTCGGCCTTTGGAAAAGCAACTTTTGAGGGATGGAAAGAGGAACCTCTCTAGGTTTAAAAAAATTTAAATTGTGACTTTGAGTAGGCACAAAGAATTCTAGTATCCCCAAACGCCTTGGTGTTTCACAGTTTATATGTAGATCTCACCGTCGTTTTGAGATTGACTGAGCTGGTTTTTTGCTTGTCGTCTTTCAAGAGCTCTTTGTCTGTTCCATTCGATTCTCTGCTGTTGCTCCTCAGTCAGGGCAGGACTTAAAGATGGAGAACCAGACTCATTTTGTGTATTCTGCGTTTCGGGAAGGAAAACGAATTCCTCAGCTGCTGGGCTTAGTCTATGGTTCTCATCTTCACCTGTTTTAGATGGAAGAGTATCACTATTAATCAGTTATCAGCAAGGTCAGTGTTGCTCAACCTCAGCAGCGTTAAGCTGTGTGGAATTCTGGGAGTTGAAGTCCACACAGCTTAAAGCTGCTGAGGTTGAGAATCACTGATCTAGGCAACCTCTACAGTGAATAGAATAGAATAGAATAGGAAGGGACCTTGGAGGTCTCCTAGTCCAGCCTCCTGCTCAAGCAGGAGGACCTATACCATCTCAGTCAGGTGATTGTCCAGTCTCTAAACTGGATTGCTTCAAAAAAAAAAGCACTCCAGGGATTACTTCACCCTTCTTGTCACATCGCTAGAAATGCCCAAATCAATAGGCCTTCTTTTCAGTAAATGTTTATTTTTATTATTATTTGATCTTCATGGCTGCATCTCATCTAAGCAACTTTGGGTGGCCGCACAACAAAGGAACCTAGTTGTAAAACCTACTTTTGTGGCCAGTGATATTTATATAATTTTTGGAATTCATACAGAAGCAACCGACCTACCGTTCTTCTTTCCTTGCAATCCAGTCCTTTCAAAAATGGAATGTGTGGAGCCATCGCACAGAAATCTGATAACTAGACAGACCCTGTCGGCAGGAACCATTTCATTCATGTCTGTGGCTACCTGGAGGATGTATTGTATTGCTTACAAATACAACCAATACTTATTGCAGCCACACGTTTGGTCTGAAATGTATTTTCTTTCTAGGCCAACTTCCCAAGTTGAATGGTACTGAATGAGGAGAATAAAATAACTCCTTTTAACAGTCTGAGAGACAGTTTTCCCTGGCATTCAATTGTTTGGAAATTAGAAATTGAATTTCTTCCCGATTCCACAGCCTCAAAGTTGAAGATAGTTCTGAGCTTCTTAACCAAATTTCAAAGAAGTTGCTTAGCAACAGAAATCTGTGATCGTACGTCGAGGAGTACCTATGCTAAGTGCTTAACAGTTATGAGTTACTCAGTATAACTTCACCTTAATTTTAACTGAAGTCTATTAGCTTCTAATAACTAAAAACTAAAAATCCTAGACCATTAGGATATTATTTCTCAGTTGTGTTTACATTTGATCCATTAAAACAAAAAGAAATCCAGTGCAAATATTTTAAAGCCACACATGCCTTCATTACTTCTGAAGTCTTCATTCAAAAGAGGTAGATCCAGTCTAATTTTCTTTAAGCATACCTAGAGATGCAAAGGTAAAACTGTTTTATCACAGGTGAAGAAGCGTCAGTTTTCCCTTAAGCTTGATCACCCCAAACTAATCCAGTTCACACTCACCTGAACAGGTTTTTTATTCCCTAAGCTCTCTATTTTGTCCACCACCTTTTCAAACTGAAGTTGAGGGAAGAGACGGTGAGCCCAATGTTCCATGTGCCTTATCAGCGTCTTCAGGTCAGCTTCCTAAATAAAGGACAATACATTTGACCAACACAGCCACAGGTGACTGGAGGGCTCCCGCCCTTTTTACTGTCCCCAAAGGCCATGAAGACCAGGCTTTTCCCCCAAGCATTAGGCTCAGATGGTCTGGCATCTGGTGGGAAGGATTATTTGGTTTTTATTCTTGTTCTTACTGGCTATTTGAGGTCCCTGAGATCATTAGATGAACTATATGAAACTGGTAGTCATATAAGTTATGTAGATAAATAATGAGACCTGTCCATCATTAGGGTTTATTTTGTTGTTTAAATCAAAGGATTTGGTGGAGTCTTCTTTATGTATTGCATAAAGCAGGGGTCCCCAACCACCCCAGCTGCAGCCCTCTACTGGGCCATGGAAAAGGGGGGGGAGCTCACACGCATCCCCACTTGCATGAACAGCAGGCAAGCATGTGTGTGCATGTCCAAATATGCGAACTGCTCACACAGAACCATCCCCTCCTCCCACCCCCACCAGTCCGCAAAGCCAGAAAGTTTGGGGAACTCTGGCATAAAGTCACATTCCCACGGATCGCTTCAGAATTTCATCTGTTATGGAAGCCCTTCATGGGCAGTCTTTGCGGTTTATATTCCAACACGGCTGCATAATTGCAGCATAAAATTGTTCACCACCCACAGTCATTCTGTGAGCAAGACGGGCAGTCTCTAAATTGTATATATAAATCTATAAAATAAATAAAAACTTTCCTTCGTGCCCTCACATATAAACAGTCTGGGTCTCATAAGACTTTAGGCTCTTGATTCTGATCCCATTCTCAGCCGTTTCTTACCTCGTGACCTTTACCTTTGAATTTTACGTTGTCGAACAAATTGCACAAAGCTGGAAGTCCTCGCTCTGAAATTAATCTGCAAACATTAGAAGTGTCTCCAGTTACTTGGAAAAATCTTAAATAGGTACTCCATCATCCAAGATCTTGAAAGAGAAAGCCAACACTTTAGGAGTCTGAGTCCTTGTCCAGCCGACAGGCTTTGTTGCTCTCCTTAGATCAATTGACATGGTACAACTGAATGAGAGTGACAAATGTTACAGCTCTTTGGACTTATCTATAAAGACTACCAATCCTTGCTGTTCTGAGAAATAGATTGGTGGTATCTGAAAATAAATCCTCTCAGCCGTAAGAATTTTGAGTAATTTCAGCTGGGGAATTCTGTCCGGCATGCTTTGAACTGTTTTCATTTTGGAGAGTTTACTTTTCCAGCCATTTAATCGTCTTCCCACATGACCACTCTGGAGGTCCAGCAGGGTTCATGAAGAAACCGTCCATTTTGGAACACAGCATTCCCAAATCAACACATTTTATATAAGAAGGGAAAGCAGCCTTGACTTTTTTCTTTTTTTTTTACAAATTAAAGGTAATCCTCGACTTATGACCACAATGGAGCCCAACGTTTCTGTTGCTAAGCGAGATAGTTTTTTTAAAGTCAGTTTTGCCCCATTTTATGACCTTTCTTGCCACAGTTGTTAAATGAATCACTGCAGCTGATGGCGGTAGAGTAGGAAGCAGCATCGGATCACAGGGAGAGAAGTAACCAAACTAAGTAGGAAGGTACTAGGAGAGGGGGGGGAAAGGGGAGGAAAACGAAGCAGAAAGTTAGATAAAGAAGACAGAAACGATAAAGGAAAAGAAGAAATTGGGGCAAGGAGGAAAACACCAGCAAACAGGAACGCAGCGAACGAACGGCTGCATGTGGAGTCAGAGGCAGCCAGCAGCAGAGAACGAGGGAGCCAGCTCAAGAGCACAGCTAAGCAGCTCAACGCTGGGGAAAAAAACACAAAAAAGGAAACCGAGACAGCGAACCGGAAGCGGAGCCCCGCCCCCCATCTGACAGGGCGACCATGCAGGATCATAAAGGGGACACTGGAGGGCTTCTAGGCCAATGGAGGCGTACCTGAAAGGCACGGTGGCCCAGCAACCCAACCAGGCACAACGAAGCGGAGACCGGCATAGCAAACTGGGCCACGCAACACACCGGCAGCTCGAATGCGCACATACAGGGAGTAAAACATGACTACATACCTTTGAGCATCTAATTTAGGTATTGTTCTTTTAACAGCTCTTCTTGCGGTCACAGAAGAATCCTTGCTTTGTGGCAATTGATCTCCCTCTGGATCTGGTGAATAAAACAGAATTTAATTCTAAAACTAGGAATACAAATTGTACCTACTGGATTTTTGTCATGAATCATTCATATTATGAAATACATCTAGCTAAAACGTATGTGCAAGCAAGGAGAAGGCCAAAGCTAACACGCTAGTCAATATTTTAAAAAAATGAGACAGTGTTAACAGGCAGAGTCAATCTAGGGCAGGTGGGCAGAGATGGTGTTGAAGTTACGGCTTGGCTTTAGTTCCCTAGGCTCAAAATGGGCAAGGCTGGTTCCTATAGCCACAACAGACAGAGGCATCTACTACTTAAGTAAATATTAAAGAGAAGAGAGATCATTCTTGCCAACGAGAATATGTCCTATCAAGTCCATGTAAGAAAAGGCTGTGAAAGCTGGACCTTAAAAGAAGTTAAATGAAGAAAAATGCCTTTGCAATATGGTGGGGAAAAATCATAAGACCTTGGACCCCTCAAAAACAAATAATTCTGGATTAAGTACAATAAGACTGCTAAATGAAAGCAAAGGCACGGTTTATGTCAGACCTGGCCCAGTCTGACCCCTTAGAGAAGTAAACTTCTTGATTCCATTTTAAGCAAAAAGGCAATTTTACTAAGAAACGCTGATTGCTGAAGCGGAAGCTAAAATTCCTGGTTGCCCTGAGCCCTCCCCACCGTCTGTGCGTAGCCAATCCACTCCCAAGGAATATTGTAAGGCTTATTCACAAATAAATGCATAACATTTCAATTGTCAAGAGAATAATTACCTCCATTGGGTAAGGCATCTTCAGCTGACCCTGGAGAGCCTGGAGGTGGGAGAGGCTGAAAGGTCTCGTCCCGGGTGTGTTCATATTCAGGAAGGCCAAAGAAATTGTTTTCAACAGGATCTATCATGTTGCCTCCAGGATGCTTAAAACAGGAAGATATCAATAAAAGGAGGAAGAGGAAATACAAAGAGAATAAATTCTGAAGCGTTTGCAGAGCTACAGGACATCTCAACATTCAGCGATATATAGACCATTACACAGTAACCCTGCCTGCAAATCAAATTCTGCACAGATTAATAACACTTTTATTTGGAAGTGTTACACAAGAAGCTAAGGCTGCCTTCGCAAATTGCACTAAAGCTGAGTTTGTTTAACCCTACTTACTGGTTAATAAATTTATAACATTATGAAATAACTCCATCCTTCCTACCAAGCGAGTCGCCGGCTGGTGCAGTTGGGCCCGCCTTCCGAGCTGGGCTTCCGCTTCCGGCGCTAAGCAAAAGGCGGGCGCGCGGGCTCACAGGCTAACAGCCAACAGCAGGCGGCCTCGGCTCTTTTATGACTCCTGGACTTCAACTCCCAGAATTCCTGAGCCAGCCATGTTAGAGAGGAAAGGGAGAGGTTTCCAAGCTGAGCCAGGCTGGCTCAGGAATTCTGGGAGTTGAAGTCCACGAGTCTAAGCCAACCCGATGCTAAACCGTTATTTGGCTTGTTGCAGTTGGAACTAAATGTGTGGGCTGAACCCAGGGGTTATGGCCGGTAAACCCATAGTTCACCCTATTTTCTATTCTGTGAATTGCCTGTCACATATATGATGGACAGTTATATCAATTGAATAAATGACGTCTTCCTATACCTCCCGTAGTTCTGCCTGCATAAATCCTGTGCAATGAACTGTGGCTTTGTATGTTGTAGGCTTGTAATTATTATTGGACTTCTTAGTAGTTATGGTTTTTTTTCAAAAAAATCATGTATGAAGTCGGATGTATAGGCTTCGTCTTACATGCTAAGTGAAAAAGACAATAAATTCAATGCAGTTGGATGGTAATAGTAAAGCCTGTCATAGTGATAAATAAGCAGTGGTTTAATAGTTTTTATGAAATCAACCAGTTATTATTTCAGAATGTTATGTCCCCGTGTCGGGCGGCGATTGGGGCCCCGGTGACCTCCGGCCTGCCCGGATTTCCGCTCCCTTCCGGTGGGACTGAGTCCGGCCATGAGCGGCAGCGAGACCGTACGGCTGCTGGACGCCGTCGACTTCGCGGCCCGCAAGCACTCGACGCAGCGGCGCAAGGACCCGGAGCGGACGCCCTACATCAACCACCCGATCGGTGAGGCGGCGGGGGCGGCGCGGGGGGGCAGGCGGGCGGGGGCGGCCCTAACCCCTCCGCTCTCCCCCCAGGCGTGGCGCAGATCCTGGCGCAGGAGGGCGGCGTGACCGACGTGGCGGTGCTGCAGGTGAGCCGGACGACCGGGCGGGCGGGCGGCGGCAGGAGGGCTCCCGGCGGGCGCTAAGCCTCCCTCGGCCCCGCAGGCCGCCCTGCTGCACGACACGGTGGAAGACACGACCGCCACCTTCGCGGAAATCGAGCAGCGCTTCGGGCCGGAGGTGCGGAGCCTGGTGGAGGAGCTGACAGACGACAAGGCGCTGCCCCGGGCCGAGCGGAAGCGCCTGCAGGTGGAGCGCGCGGCGGGGCTGAGCGCGGGCGCGCGGCTGGTGGCGCTGGCCGACAAGCTGTACAACCTGCGCGACCTGCAACGGCGCACGCCCGTGGGCTGGTCCGAGCAGCGCGTGCGCGAGTACTTCGCGTGGGCCGCGCGCGTGGCCGACGGACTCCGCGGTACCTGCCCCGCCCTGGAGGAGCCGCTGTGGCGCCTCCTGGCCGCCGGGGGCGTCGCGCGCTAACCCGGAAGCGCCGCGGCGGAAGTGCCGGGACCGCGGACCGCCCACTTCCGGGAGGGGCGCCGGCACCATGGCCTCCCGCGACCCGCCCGACCTGCCGGACTTCGGGCTGCTGAAGCGCCTGGCGCGGGATCAGCTGGTCTACCTGCTGGAGCAGGTGGGCGCGAGGGCGGCGCGGGGAGGGGCGGGGGGGCGGCGGCGGCGGCGCGGCCGGTGCTAACTGGGCTCTCGGTCCCGCAGCTGCCCGGCAAGAAGGACCTCTTCCTGGAGGCCGACCTGATGAGCCCGCTGGACCGCATCGCCAACGTCTCCATCCTGAAGGTGCGCGCGGGGGAGGGAGGGAGGGAGGGCGCGGGGGGAGCCGCCGCCGCCGCCTCCGCGCCCTGCCGCGTCTGACCGCCTCCGTCTCTCCGCGCAGCAGCACGACGTGGACAAGCTCTACAAGCTGGAGAAGAAGCCGGCGCGCAGCTCCAACGACCAGTGAGTGGGCCGGGGGGGGGGGCGGCGGAAAGGAGGAGCCGGGGGCGCTCCCCCCGAGCCCCCTGACCGCACTGCCCTTCCCTCCAGGTTGTGCTTCCTGCTCCGTCCGCGCCTCTCGAGCGTCAGGCTGGTGGCGGGTGAGTGACGGGGGGGGACGCCTCCTGGGGGGCCGGGGGATCCCGCGAGGACGCGGCTGACTCGGTGGTCCTTGCAGAGTTGGTCAACGCCGACAAAGCGGCCGGTCGGGCGCGCAAATACAAGATCATCTTCAGCCCCCAGAAGGTGAGGCTCGCCGGTGTTGGGGGGTGGGAAGAGGCAGTTGGGAATGTTGGATAAGCCTGGTTGCCCACCAGTGAAAGGCTTCCCGACGGGGTGTGTGTGTGTGTGGCCATGGGCTTGAACTTTGTAGAGGTATTTCGTGAACGTCGGAATGAAGCTTTTCCCTAAGCAGGTTGAGAAGGAGGAAGAGAGCAAGAGAGAAGCTGCCCCAGGTACTGAGCAAGTGGCTGGTGCTGAGCCTTTGGGATAATAAGGCAGCCACTCAGTCCTGGAAGGAGGTTGGGGGGGTTATCTTGCCTTGCCTGTCTTGCCCCTGTGACATCCAGCAGCTGAATTCAGCCAAGTCTTCCAAGATGACGTGTGTGGTCAGCCTGTCAGCTCACATTTAAGTACATCAGACTCCCACGGCCTCCTAGCAGAATCCCCCTTTCCTCTGCCTTAAAAGCCGCATGATTAGAAAATTTAGAAAAACACTCTAATGGATTCCAGGAACAATCTTCAGGGGAAGGCCTTGTGTGGTACTGGCTAGAAAGGCCCTGACTGCCTCAAAGGGTGGCACCAACAGCATCTTTGCAGTTATCTTTGCCTGGATTATTGAGCCTCAGCTGGTAAAGAGCGTTTGCGCCATAGAGGGTCCTTGGCCAGGAAAGATTAAGAAGCCCTTGAGGCTTCCACGTATGGCACTTTCAAGGTTACCTGAAGCTGTCTGTCTTCTCCTGCAGTTCTACGCATGTGAGCTGGTGTTGGAGGAGGAAGGGATCTATGGTGGTAAGTCTTGAGATCTGGGTCCAGTGCAGCACAGCTGGATGCCTCCGTTCAGTCCAAACGTACGGGGAGAAGGGGCTTGGAAATAGACGGGAGGGGATGGTTCTGCTGGTCTCCCTTCCTCTAGACTCAAACCTCTGGCTGTTCATTCAGGTTGTGAAAGGCAGATAAGGGAACAGGCATTCAAACACTATCTCTGACTCTCTAGATGTGACCTGGGATGAGTGGTCCTTCTCCCTCCTCCCTCTGGATAACGATATCATCAGCATGGAGCTGCCAGAGTTCTTCCGGGATTATTTTCTGGTTAGTATTATATTCGGCAAGGCCATTTATGCTGGCTTTGATGCATGTCTTGGTAGATGTCTGCTGCCTCACCAGTATCTTGGAGGCTGTGTTGGTGAGGAAGAGATTTCTGGGTTTCCGAGAGTCAGTCATTCCAAGATGGCCGTATTCCATTTACTCTTGCAGGAAGCGGACCAGCGGTGGATCAGCACAGTGGCCCAGGCTTTGCAGCTGATGAACTCTCTCTTCGGCCCATTCACCAAGACCTATGGAATTGGGCGGTGTGCCAAGGTGCGGCCAGGTCAGCCCAGGCGGGTGGGCTTGTTTAGAGATCATGTGCCCCAGAGAAAGAGATGGCTCTAGGGAGCCTGTTGTTGGCTTAGCCACGGTTGGGCTGGAAGCAGGAAAGGGTGGCCCCAGAACACATTTCGACTAAATGCGGTCCTGTTTATGCAAAAGCTACCGAAAACTTTCCTGAAAGCTTTGCTCTTAGTTGGCTCCCTGTTGACGTGACAGAGCAGGTGCCTGTCACTAGGAGAGGACCTGGCAAGGAGTCCTGCCTTTGATGTGGTATCCTGGGGGGGTCCTGCAAAGGGCAGTGGGTAAGGGGTTCATTTCTCCTAGATGGTCCATGAGCTTTGGCGTGAACTAGCTGAAGAGAGCGAGGCTGACAACATGGGTCGGAAACCAGAGATTGGCCACATCTTCCTCATAGACAGAGGTGTGCCTGGGGGAGAGGGAAGGGGGGGAGTATCCTGCCTGGAGACCTTCCTTGATTCCAGTGGGAGCTCCTGCCTAGCAGCTTTCCACAAGTTTGGGGTGGGGGAGATATTTTGGAAGTGAGTAAGAGAGAAAGTGATTCCCACAGACTTTGGTTCTTGGCTTCATATGTCCTGGAAAGGAAGAGGACTCCGGTGCCACAGGAACTTCAGAGAGAAGCGGCTGTTGTGCCTTATTTTGAGCAAGCAGTTTATCGATGAGCTTGAAATTGGTAGACAGAATGACAAAACAGTCTGCTCGGTCCTGGGAGCGCCCTGTGTCTGCACCAAGCGGCAGCTGTTCTCCCGTTTCAGATGACTGTCCTTCTACCCTGCCTGTAGATGCTGCTTTTGGCCTCTGAGCCGGGACTTTTGTTACAAGAGGCGCCTCGTGTTTATCTCTTTTTAGATGTGGATTACGTCACAGCCCTTTGCTCTCAGGTGGTCTATGAAGGCCTGGTGGATGACACCTTCCGCATAAAATGTGGTGAGCCTCCCTAGCCTTGAGCCTCTGGCGTTGGCCTCTGACCTTCCAGTTTCTGAGGGCTGGATTGGAGGTGTCCAGAGATTGCCATCCTCCAGAATAACTACTGGGCAACTAATGAGAGGGCCCTGGTAATGACTTGAGCAACCCGCTTTCTGCAGGAAGTGTGGATTTTGGTCCAGATGTTACCTCCTCTGACCAAAGCATTAAAGTTCTGCTGAATTCCCAGGACAAGGTAAGCTTTCTCTGCTCTGGGACGAAAGCAGCTCAGGGGTTTCTGAGAGCAGGAGCCTGATGGCTGGGAGAGTGGTGAGGGGCTTCCCTGGGTGACCCTGGTCTGGCCTGCCTCTCTCCACAGGTGTTCAACGAAATTCGCAACGAGCACTTCTCCAACGTGTTTGGTCTCCTCAGTCAGAAGGCCCGGAACCTGCAAGCCCAGTATGACGTGCGTAGGCTAGAATGGGGCAATCAGGGCCACGAGGGGTAGAGTTGTGGCTGGCCCAGCCTGTAGGAAATGTTTCTCTTCCAGCGACGGCGGGGGATGGATATCAAGCAAATGAAGAGCTTTGTCTCTCAAGAACTGAAGGGCCTGAAACAAGAACATCGCTTGCTGAGTCTCCGTAAGTCCTCCCAGCCGGGCAGAGGAATCTTAGCAACAAAACCTCCCTGGGCCCTTTTTGCAGGCATGGCCCCATCCCAGCCAGGTGCAGGCAGCAGAGCAATCCTTGCAACCGTCCTGTAAAACTCATCTCTGGCCTGGTCCCAGCAGGAGGGCTTCAAGACGTTTTTACTTGTTTTTAGTTGTTAAGACTCAACGCTGGATGATTCGCTGATAGGCGTGTTCCAGAAAATACTTTTCCCCTCCTGGTTTGACCATCTCCCTTATATGTGCAGATATTGGGGCCTGCGAGTCCATCATGAAGAAGAAAACCAGACAAGATTTCCAGGAATTGTTGAAGACGGAACATGGTGAGAAGGGATGTTCACGCAAACTGGCTGAATGCGATTATGGGGTCGGAGTTGGTTACTGAACGTGGGAGGGCATCAAGGATTTAGTTAAGACTTTTTAAAATGCCTTTACATTTCCTTGGCTCACTGGGCTTCGCATAACCCTACCCCAAAAGGCAAGGTTGGAATCGGTGTGCATTGAGTGCTGATCTTAGGAATCTCCATATGGTCCCCCTCCTGCCAGCCTTGGGCATCGGCCTAATTCCTGAAGACTCTCAACGAGACGGTTGGGCTGCTTTTGGCAGATGGCTTGTGGGCATTGGCTGCTTGCTTTCTGGTAGCTGGAGGGGCCTCATGAGGGCAGGTGCTGGGAGCCAGAGGCCGTGCGTGGGTTCTCAGCAAGCAAGGAAGGTGAGAGAGAGGCTGGGCCTCGGCCTGGCTTTGCTCTCATCGCTCTGTTTGCTTGGCAGCCCTTCTGGAAGGGTTTGATGTCCGGGAGAGCATCAGCTTCATCGAAGAGCACATCGACCGGCAGGTGAGAGGAGGATGGATCACAGGGGAGCGAGGAAGCGGCCCGAGCCAAGGCCTGGGGAAAGCTGTTCGTTGACCAGCTTCTCCCGCCCTCTTCCTGGGACAGGTTACCCCGATTGAGAGTCTGAGGATGTTGTGCCTGCTGTCGATCACGGAGAATGGTGGGTTCTGGCTCAGGGCAGGGAGGCCTGGGTCAGGCAGCCCCTGCTGTGTGCCTTGACCCCCCCCAGCTTCTCCTCTTCCCCAGGACTTTCTCCCAAGGACTACCGCTCCCTGAAAACCCAGTACCTGCAGGTGAGGCCAGACACGGGGCCCTTCCCTGGGTGGTAGAGAGGCCCCGAGTCAGTTTTCTGGAGGTGCAGCTCTGCCCCCGCCCCAGGGCTTTCACTTACTTTCACCATTTTCTGCGCCTGTCCCTTGTCCTGCTGCGGTGCCTGTCCCTGCCCGCTGGCAGAGTTACGGACCAGAGCACCTGCTGACCTTCCACAACCTGAAGCACTTGGGGCTCTTGACGGAGCAAGTCTCCGGTGAGACTCTGACGGCTGTAGAGAACAAAGTCAGCAAGCTGGTGACGGATAAAGCGGCAGGTGAGGGACTTTTGGGATTCCGTCGCGCCCCGGTTCCTTCTGGGGAGGGACAAAGAGATGGATGTCTTCAGTCCTCAAGATCCCTTTTGCCTTCCTCCCCCTCTTTCTCCTCCTCCCCCCCAGAAAAGCTGTCAGATGCCTTCAGTTCCCTGGCCAGGAAGAACAATTTCCGAGCTATAAGCAAGAAACTGGGCCTGGTGAGTTCGTGATTCGGTTAAGGCAGGGAGGGAAGAGGCCTCCAGTTGTGACCACCTGTTTCCTTGCAGATCCCATGTGGGGATGGAGAATACGACCTGAAAGTGCCCCGGGACATGGCCTACGTGTTCAGTGGCGCCTATGTGCCCCTCAGTTGCAAGATAATGGAGCAGGTGCCTAAGAGCCTTTGAACTGCTGGGACTAACGGGGGAGTTTGGGGGGGGCTCCTCTTCCCCCCCCCCTCCTTGGCAGCTCTGGCTTGACTCCGTCCTCTGTCTCAGGTGCTGGAGCGCAGGAGCTGGCTGGGCCTGGAAGAGGTGGCGAGGCTGCTTGGGGGCCATGAGTTTGTCACAGGCAAGTGGCTTGCCAGCTCCGCTGCTCCTTTTTCAGCGTTCTGCTTCCGGGGGTGAGCATGCATCTTCCAACTGATCTGGAGGCATGGATTTAGGGGTGTTTTCCTTGCAGGTGCGGAAGAGCCTCGGCTTCCAGGCCCCCAGCAAGTCGTCCTGGCAGTCTTCTTAGGAGGCTGCACCTTGTCTGAAGTTGCCGCTCTCCGCTTCCTTGGCAAAGAAAGAGGTATGAGATGCCCCCAAACTGGGGCAATTGCTAGTGGACCTGCCTGGTGGAAAATTCCAAGCCCCTGCATATAAACGGGGTGGTGGTGGTGGTGGTGAAAGTTAGATTGAAGCGAGGGCCCTGCTTCTAGCCATTTTGGAAGTGAGCAAATTGAGAGAAAAAGTAAGCTTTTTGTAACTAGTTTCCCTTCAGCGTCCAATTACGTAGTAGCTTCCTGCTAGGCTTTTGGGGGGACTAAATTTGGAGTTTTTTGGATTTTGTCTTGCTCTTCCTTCAGGAGGTCAAGTTCTTCTCACAGTCCCATGGGATAGATAGGTTAGGTCGACAGGGGGCTTGAGCCAGGGTCTCAGCATCACTGCCACCCCACCCTCCAGGTCAGGGAAGGCGTTTGTTCTCTGCAGGGTTACCTTTGGTGCTTGCCTCCCCACCAGGGCTCCGGTTCATAATCTTGACGACGGCCATCACCAACAGTGCTCGCCTGCTGGAATCCACCATGGAGATGAGGATGTGACTGCATCAAGGGCAACCCAGAGGTGAAGGGATGCTTGAAAATACCTTGGTGTTCTGCCCAGCCAGGGAGAGGCCATGTTCCCATCAGTTGGAGAATCACTGTCATTTACCCTACCGGGGACAAGGAAAGTACGGAGCACTTTTCCCCTTCTGGTCTTCCACTGGGAGCTGCTGTGATCCCTCTGTTGGAGTTTTTTATTAATCGGAAGATGCCTCTTTGGAAACAGGAACTTTCCTTGGGAGAGGAAGTGTCTAGCAAGGCAACGAAATGTGCAGCAGTGAAAAGAAATTAGAATGGCTTCAGTGAAAGGAAGAAAGCCCAGAATTTCAGACAGCTCTTTTCTCCTCGCCCAGGAAAAGTGGATGAAGAAAAACCCTCTTTAGACTGGAAAAACCCTACACGGCCCAGTCCCCCCATATTTTCAGCCTTCAGCTATCCTTTTCTTCTGCAACAAATGGGTCCGTGTATAATGTGCATAAACATCTTCCCAGAAACCACAGGAATAGAACAAAATAAAACATTAATTGAAGTAATTGCTACCGGTCAATTTTTGCCTATCATGCAAGGCTTCCTGTTCCTTTGTGCCCCCTCGCCCTCATTCTCTCCCTTCCCCAAATCCCAAATCAGAAACCCGGCCCAGCCATTGTTTCCTTTCTAGCAGAAGCTGAACCAAACCAAACTGAATGGAAATAGGGGGTGGGGGACCCACCACAATTGTGGGGCGGCAATTGGGAAGGGCAGAAAACATTACAAAGAGTCCAACAGCCTCAGGGAATTTCAGCCATGGGGGAAATGGCGAGGTGGGGATCCACAGAGCAGAAGGGCTGGGCTCACCCGTCTTCAGGGGCAGGACACTTCTTTTCACACGGATGCCTTCAATGGCCTCAGATTTCAGGCAAACTTATTTGTTCCCTACCTCAGGAGTCCTCAACCTTGGCAATTTTATGACTTGCGGACTTCAACTCCCAGAATTCCTCAGCCAGGCATGCCTGGCTGAGGAATTCTGGGAGTTGAAGTCCGCAAGTCATAAAAGGGCCAAGTTGGAAGACCCCCTGCTCTGACCGCTTTCACTAACGTTTCTCCCCCCCCTCCCCCGTCTGTCCGTTCGTGTCGGATTCGGGATCGGGCCCTGCATTTTTCTTGGCAAGGTTTTAAGACGTTTTTCTGAAGCCGCCGCCGCCGTCTCCTTACCTGGCATTCACTGGCCCAGCGTCGCCCCAGGCTGGACAGAAGTCGGCCTCTCCGGGTTTCTCACCTTAGGCTGCTCACCACACGGTTCTCACGCCTCCGACAGACGGCGAGGCGACTAAGGCGCAGCGTCGGCCCAACCCGCACAAGCAGGCCCGGCCCTGAGGAGCTGCAGCAGGATGGGGGAGCGGGGCTTCCATGAGGGGGAAGAGCGGTGCCGCCCCCCGGGCGATGTCCACAACGCCCCTCCCTGCAGTCACCCGGGCTCGGCCTTGGAAGGCGCCCTTCGCATAGCTGAGGGCTCTTCAAACTCGGCCCTTTCACGACTTGTGGACTTCAACTCCCAGAATTCCTCAGCCGAGGATTCTGGGAGTTGAAGTCCACAAGTCAAGTTTGAAGAGTCCTGGCAGAGCTGGCCGACATGGCCCCGCCCCCGGCGGCCGCCGCGCCCTGATTGGCCGTAGCAGAACGCCTGTGGGCGGGGCCTCGGACGGAGCCAATGGCAGTGTGGCGGGGGTTTGAATCGCCGAGCAGAAACGGTCGGCGCCGAGCTGCAGCGGGCCGCGGAAGCGCCCGGCCGGCGGAGATGAGACGCAGGTGTGGCGCGGGCCGGGGGAACGCGGGCGGGCGGCGGGCGGGGGGGGCGCGGGGGGGGGACGGGCCGGGGGCATCCGAGCTGACGGCCCCCGTCCCGCTTCCCTCCCGGCGCAGCGAGCTCCTGGCCGGCGAGTCGGTGGCCTGCCTGACCCAGGCTCTGAGACACCTGCGCGGCATCTGGGAGGAGATCGGCATCCCGGAGGAGCAGCGGCTGCAGCGCACGGAGGTGGTCAAGAGGCACGTCCAGGTGAGCAGGCCGGGGCGGGCTGGGGCTGGGGCGGGGCCGGGCCGGCGGGGCGGCCGGTGGCTGAAGCGCGCTCTTCTGTCCGGTGGCGCGCAGGACCTGCTGGACCGGATGGTGGTGGAGGAGGAGAGCCTCCGGGAGCGGCTGCTGAAGAGCATCGAGCTGTGCCGGAGGGAGCTGGCCGCCCTGTGCCAAGAGCTGCAGCTGGCGCCCTTCCAGGTGAGTCCACGGTGCCCACCCACCCCCGGCGCGCGCGCCCCCCCCCGCCTCCCGAGCCCGCCTGTCACCTGCCTGTCTTGCAGGAGGCGGAGGAGGCCACTATCCTGCAGCTGGAGAAGGATCTACGCACCCGCGTGGAGGTGATGCTCAAGCAGAAGCGCGAGAGGCGGCAGGAGGTGCGCGCCCTGCAGGAGCGCGACCGGGAGCTGGCCGGGCTGCTCGGACGGGCGCCCTACAGCAGCATCGGCAGTGGCGAGGCTGTGCCCACCCTGGCCGAGCTGGACCACTTCCGGCGCCACCTGGCATCGCTGGCAGCTGAGAAGGTCTGGGCAAGTCTCCAAGGGGCGGGCGGATGGGCCGGTAGGGCGGGGCAGCTGGGTGCTGACCCTTTCCTTTCCCTGTAGGAGAACCGGCAGGCAGAGTTCATCCGCCTGAAGCAGCAGGTTGTCCTCTGCATGGAGGAGCTGGAGCAGCAGCCCAGCACTGCCTTTGAGCAAGAGGTCGTGTGCCAGAACGCAGGCGTCTTCTGCCTCTCCCTGGATAACTTGGCTGCCCTGAAGGATCTGCTGCAGCAGGTTGGGGGAAGGGGCTGTGGGCAGGGGAAGCACCCGCCTACCTTCCTTGAGTCCTCCTTGGACCTAAGGCTGTTCCTTTGCTGTCTCCCAGCTGGAGGACAGGAGAACTCGGAAAGAGGCCGTATGTGAAGAGATGCGCTCCCGCATCCTGATGCTCTGGGACTGGCTGCAGGTGCCTCCCGAGGAGAGAGACGCCTTCGCTCCGTACATGGAGGGCTCCAGAGCCAGCATTATGAACGCTGTAAGAGGCTGGGTTTCCTTCCTGGGCACAAGGGCCCTGTCGGTTTCTGGGGGTCCAGGAGCAGCACTCTCCCCTACATTCCCATTGAGAGGTTGCCACCTTGCCATGGAAGCATGGTGTGCATCCGATAAGGCCTCCCTTCCTTGTGTTTCATTGCCTCGACTCTCCTCCGCACTGCCTCTTTTAGCTGCGCCTGGAAGTCGACCGCTTGGAAGAACTGAAGTGCCAGAACCTGCAGAAGGTGGTGGAGGCCATTCGGGCTGAGCTGGCCACCTACTGGGACAAGTGCTTTTTCGGGGAAGAGCAGCGGCGCTCCTTTGGCCCCTTCTATGAAGGTGGGTTGGGGGCCGGTGTTGGGGGCGAGTGTGGCCCTCTTCAGTAGCCCTTCCTGCCATCCCTCGTGCTTTCCTCCTTCACAGACACCTTCACTGAAGAGTTGTTGCAGCAACACAACAATGAGTTTGTGCGACTGAAGCATTATTATGAGACGCATCAAGAGCTCTTTGAAGCAATCCACAAGTGGAAGAGGAGCTGGTGTCTCTTTCAGGAGCTCGAGGTAATTATGGGATGGGATGGGATGGGATGGGCTCAGCTGCCTCTTCAAGCAGCAGGAGATCCTCACCTTTTCCTCCCCGTAGAAAAAGGCCACCGACCCAAGTCGCTTCACCAACCGAGGAGGCAACCTCCTGAAAGAAGAGAAGCTGCGCGCCAAGCTGCAGAAGACCCTTCCCAAGGCAAGTGGTCCCAGTCACTCTCCCAGTCTCGTGGGCCTCTGGCAGCCCTACCTAAACTGCCTTCTTCTGGTGCAGCTGGAGGAGGAACTGAGGGTCCGCGTTGAACTGTGGGAGCAAGAGCATGCTCAGGACTTCCTGGTGAGCGGGCAGCGCTTCATGGAGCACGTGACCGAGCAGCGGCGCCTCCATCATCTGGAGAAGGAGAAGGAAAGGCAGGAGCGGGTGAGTTGGCAGCCTCAGGATTCCAGCCATCTTCCTGGTCAGACGGTCGTCGGTTTATCTTGTCCAGCAAGTGTAGCAAGCCTGTTGACCGATGAGGGTGCTTAGTCCCTGTAGCCAGAGGGCAGCCAGGGCCTCGCAGCCCCTCCTGCAGTGTCTTCCTCCCCCAATTTATGACTTGCCCTCTGATTCCAAGGGTGATAGCCAAGCAGTTGGTCCATCTCTCTGATGAATTAAGAGATCAGTCAATTTCAGATCTTGCTTGAGGTTACTGTCAGCTGCTGCTTAGCCTATTCCACTCCCTTCTGTCTTTCAGCAACTCAAAAAGTCCCGACAGACAGAGGAGGAGATGCTCTATGGCAGCACCCCCACCAAGAGACGGGCTTTGGGTATCACTACACCTGGCAAAGCACGAAAAGTAAGTGGGGCCGCCCAGAAGTCAGGTGTGCCTTTTTACCTCGTGTATATAAATGCGGGACAGCTTTTTTCTTCCTTTCCCCTTTAGTGTCATCCCTCCCACTCTTCCCAGTTTTCTAAGCTTATCCAAGCAGCAGCTTTTTCCTTTTGCTCCCATGGCTGCTTTCTAAGCTTCAGAGTTTTGCCTGGGTTAGTTTCTTTATTGCTGTTCACCAGGAGAAGACATTCTTGCCAGAGTAAAGCACACTGCATAACTGCTATCTTGGAAAGGTTATGGGAGGGTCTCTGCTGGGCCCCTTTCTGCCCACCAGTGACTCGGAGTTGATCTGAGCTGATCTGCCTCCGAGTTCCTTGGGAAAGGCCCCCAGCCTCCTGCAACACAGCACCAGGTGGCAGAAGCATACAATCCATTCCTGTGCAGGGACACATTTCAAGGAGAGCAACAAAGATGATTAGGGGGCTGTAAAGCTAAAACATACGAAGAACGGTTGCAGGAATTGGGTAGGTCTAGTTTAGTGAAAAGAAGGACTAGTGATGCCATGATAGCAGGGTTCCAGTATCTGAGGGGCTGCCACAAATAAGAGGGGTCAACCTATTCTCCACAGCACCTGAGGGCAGGGCAAGAAGCACTGAGTGGAAGTTCATCAGAAGGGCATCCAACCTAGAACTAAGGAGGAATTTCCCCACAGAACAATTAATTATGGTTGCCTCTAGAAGTTGTGGGGGCTCCATTACTGAAGATTTTTAAGAAGAGATTGGACAGCCATTCGTCTGGAGTGGTATAAGGTCTCCTGCTCAAGCGGGGGGTGGGTGGGACTAGAAGACCTCCTAGGTCCCTTTCCAACTCCCTTATTCTGTTGTTCTGTTGTTATTCTGAGTCTGCCAGTATGAGACACAGTAAAATTATGTCCTTGATCAGGTTTCTGATCCGTTTTCTGTGCAGCTGAAGGTATTGTGATGTAAAGACATGCCGTAGATCTGAAAGTGAGAACTGATTAGCAGCACTTTCCCCTGGAAACGGCCATCGGATTTGTGTTGCTCTGCACCAGGGACCGCTTTCTTTGCTAACACCTGGATTTTCCTTGCAGCTCAACATTACCACTACAACTCCCAACAGCACCATCCGCTCAGCCCTGAGAGGTTCAGTGCTAAATTCCCCTGGATGCCACACACCCCTGTCAGGAGGGAAGGTAAAGAGCTGACCTCTTGGGTCCGGAGGGAGGCGGCCTCCGGTCCCATTCCCAGCTGTTTCAGAAGGCCAAGAGGCAGGAGAAAGCGGTGGGAACTGGGCAAGTGCAAAAGTGGCAAAGTGTAACCCAGGAGTAGAAAAAATACAGAATAAAGGGAGAACTGTAACAGAATAAACTGCTTAGAAACGAGAGAGAACGCAGAGATTGCTTCCTGGAGAAGTTGAAGGGTCTCAAAAGGTCCTGCAACCACAGCTAAGCAGCAGCCTGCCTTTGCGTGTGTGGTCAGCTGGCCTGAAACAATTGCAGCGCTCCGTGCTGCAAGGGCCTCGGGTGCAGCTGGCACTTGGCAAGCATCCTGGCCAAAATAATACCTCCCAGGATTCAGAGTAGGTTAGCTTGCTTAGGAGGGCTCCTGCCCAAATCCAGCCCTTGAGCTGTGGCGCAGGCCGTCTGCAGCTCAAGTTTTCAGAATGCAAACAAAATTATGCAGAAGGCAAAAGCAACATGACCGTTGGGACACCAGAGCTCATAGAGCCCACACGGCACACACCCGCAGTAGGGGCTGGGTGGCTTGGAAATGCCTTCAGACCAATAGTCGGAGGAGGGGGAAATGGAGAATGGCAGCCACAAATTCCCAGAAGAGGTCCGTCCACCAAAGCTTAACACCTTTGTCAAACGTGGCCTTTCCGGTGCCCCTTCCTTTAATCTTCTGACTCCTTGCCTAAAGTGCCATTCCTCTTTCTATGTCCGCAGCCTCTCCGGACCCCCACCCCTTTGGTTGCCAAGACCCTTTCCAAAGTCCAGACGGAACGCAACAAGGAGAACGTCTCTCAGCTCAACAGAACAGTTCTGAGCGGTGGGTGTACCCTGACAGCCCCTGCCCAGCACAATGGCAGTATTTACTCTGTTGCCAGCACCTATTCAGCATTTGCGGTAATTCCCTTCTCCCTCTTCTCCCCCTATCCCCGCTGGCTCCGGAGCTAGAAGCCGCCCGCAGGAGTCGCTAGATGGCTGCACTCCCCATCAGGGCCTCTGGCCAGTCGGCCATTGCCAAAGGAAGGCCAAGGGGCTGGGTGGGTCCCACTTGCTGAGGCTCTTTTTGCTGCTGCTTGCCCTGCCTGTAAATGGCAGTTTTGAAGGGGGGGGCGCTACATGCAGAAAGACAGGGCTCCATGGCTGGAAGCAAGCTTGGGCAGGGCAGCCCACATTTCTGCCTCGCTCTGTCCCTGAAGAAAATGCCCCCCCGTTTCTTCCCTGCCACTGCTTCCACCAAAAGCCCCTCTGAACATACACCCTTGCATATTGTCCAAATACCCACCCCACTGCCTCAAGCCCCCCCCCCCCCCCCCCCCCCCCCCCCCCCCCCCCCCCCCCCCCCCCCCCCCCCCCCCCCCCCCCCCCCCCCCCCCCCCCGGCAGCTCCATCTGACTCTGCATCCTTCACACCAATTGTTCTTCTCTCTCCCCAGCACGCACTTTCAGAGGCTTCCAGATCTGAGCACCCGTCCCAAGTCCTCAACTCCACAGCTTCCAATCCTGATGGCTGAAGGGGGGGCGTTGCCAACCCTGGATCCTCTCATCATATAGGATGTGGCATGAACTGGACCTTCTGGGGCCTGGTTTATGCTACCACTTTTAACTGTTTTTAATGACTTGATTTCCAAGTTTTATGTTACAGGGAATAAAAGTCTAGCTGCAGCAGCTGTTCTGGGCCCAGGCCTGCTACCTTATTCATGGGGGTGGGAAGGGAGGGGGGAGCAGGTGGCGGTTTGCCTCTCTCCTTTCCTTGGGCAACTGAAGTGGATGGGCCACCCAGGTCCTGCTCTTCAGCAGGTGGCCTTCTGCTCACCTTAGCCACAGGAAGGGGAGAGACTACGGGGAATCCTCTAGGATGCACTGTCAACTGTCCAGTTGGCATTTCCAGAAAAAGAAACTCCTGGGACATGATTTTACCAAGAATATAATACTTTACTGAAAATTTACATTGGCCCAGAAGAAGTGAAACCAGCTCTGATTTTTCCACAAGAAAGCTTACTTAATTAAACAATAGATTCCCTCGCCCCACCCACCCACCCACCCACTGGATATTCACATTGTCCAATAGTAATACTTCTTCTTATGGGAAAGATCCACTTCTCCATCCAGCACTTGCGTTAGTGACCTTGGTGTTCCTGCAGGCTCTCAAAAGATGCCTCGGTTGCCTAGATAGCATCCCTCCCATTACATTCCACTCCACAATCTCTACTCTGCCTTTTGTCAAGCTATGAGCAAGGGAGAAAATGCAGGTGACAGGCGAACCAGTCCTGACATGCACCACCTCCCTCTTCACCCACTGGCCCATCTCGCGGCTGGGCTAAGAGGCTGGCATTCCTGGCACTTCGACTGCCCATTTAACGATCATGGTTTCTTTAAATGTCTGACTTTGCTCTGCATAAAAGATCGTTTTATTCTGCATTTAATGTTGTGCTTCTGATATGTAAACATGGCTCCCTTAAGAAACATCTGCGCTGCTCACCTCAGAGGAAGCCTGAGGTGGCCACTGACAACAACCCCCTCCCCAATTCTCGCTCCCGGGACGTCCCGGGACAATTGAGCCAAGATTGAGCTCCGTGAAGCAGCTCTGCCTCCAAAGACACGCGTGGCGGACGTGGCACATTCAGGGCCCACTCTCGGCAGCCTCGGCTTGGACAAATGTGGTCCACGGACCACAGACCACATCCTGCACTCTCAGATTCCTCTCCACAAAGTAGCAAACTCTCCTCGGCTGGTCAGAGGTGGCCGCATCCTGGTGGCCCAACTGGCCATATTTCCCTGGGAACAAAAGCAACCGTTGGCCCCGCAAAGCCTCGGGCCACAGACCTCCAGCCCCACCAGCACCTTACCTACCCCAGCCCCAGGTGTAGAGATGTCCGGTACCTGAAAGGAAACCAGCAGGGGAAGGGCTGTAATGGGGGGCAGGGGGTGGTTGGAGAAAGCCTGCCCTTGTGAGCCCCCCCCCCCCCCGCCCAGGTGGGAACTGCCCGAGCATCTTCCCTGGTTTGCCAGGAGGGCCTTTGCGGGGCCAGTATCCGTGACCTTTTTGCCCTCACCGGCCTACCCGCCCGCTCCAGGAGGGCCCCTTACCCGTCACGGCGGCCGTGTGTCGGGACCCGCAGCTGACCCGCCGCACCTCGGCCTCCTCGGGCAAGTCCAGCAGGGCGGGGAAGGGCTGCAGCGAGACGAAGGGCACCTCGTCGCCTCCGGGCCCGTCCGCAGCCCCCACGTCCAGCCCGTCGCTGCCCTGGCAAAGGGGGCGATTCGGCGGGGCCCGAGCGGCCTCCTCGCTGGCTGCTGCTGCTGCTCCACTCTCGGTGGACATTTTGGAGGGCAGCCCGAGCTGTCCGGCCTCGTTCCAGCCCCACAAATACAGGTCGCCCGCATCTGAGGGGGGGGGAGGGATGAGTCGCCGTCGGGGAGGGGCCTCTTCCCTCGCTCGCTCGCCCGGGGAGGGGCCGCCCCCGCCCGCCCGCCCCGCTCACCGCTGACGGCCGCCGAGTGCCAGCCGCCCGCCGCCGCCTCCGCCACGGCCAAGCCCTGCAGCGCCTCCACCGCGCGCGGCTCCCGCCGGCTCTCCAGGTCGCCGTGCCCGAGCTGCCCGTGCCTGCCGGAGAGGGAAGGGCGCTCGGTTCCGCTCCGTCCCGCCTCCCCCGCCCGCCCGCCCGCCCGGGCTCACCTGCCGCCGCCCCACGAGAAGAGCGTCCCGCCGGCGACCAACAACAGCGCGTGCTCCAGGCCCAGCAGCAGCCGGCGCGCCGGGAGGGCGGCGGGCAGCGCGGTGAAGAAGGGCGGCCGGGGGGCCACGTAGCCGCCGGGGACCAGCGGCAGCTCTAGGGGGGGACAAAGGGGCGGGTCAGCGCGGAGGGGGGCAGGGCGCGGCAGGCCCCCCTCCCGCCCTCCGCCGCCGCCGCCCACCTGCCGCCGCCGCCTCCTCCGCCCGCAGCTCCCTCCGCCAAACGGGCTGCCCGTCCAGGAGCGCGGCCGGCCCCGTCGCGGCGGGCCAGGCTTCCAGCGCCTCCTCCCGCAGCAGCAGCACGTGCGTCTNGCCCCAGTGGAAGCCGAAGCGGAACCAGCCGCTCTCCCCGCCCGCTGCGGGCCCGGGCGCCCTTCCTCCGGCAGTCATCGGCTCGGCTGAGCCGGGCGGCCCGGATCGCTGCCTCCCCTCGCCGAGCAGAGCCCGGCAGCCCAGCAAGCAGGTGACGGTCGCTGCCGCCGCGGAGAATGCCGGGCAGGCCCGGAAGCCGCGGGGTGGGGCCTGCGCGCTCGGCCGGGCGACTTCTCGGCCGTTGAAGTGGTGCCGAGGCGCGCCCCCGGCCCTGCTCCGGCCCCGGCCTTTCCCACCCACCGGCCCCAGCCAGGGTGCGAGAAGCGCGACTCCCCCTTGCCTCTCCCGGAGCACCCAGAGCTCCTTTACAAGTGCTGCCATTTCAAACACTGAATATACCAGATGCAGGAAGAGGTTTCTTTTGTTTTTATTTATGCAACGGGTCCCATTATCCCCTACAGCAGGGGTAGGCAACCTTGGCTCTTTTATGACTCGCGGACTTCAACTCCCAGAATTCCTGAGCCAGCATAGCTGGCTCAGGAATTCTGGGAGTTGAAGTCCGCGAGTCATAAAAGAGCCAAGGTTGCCTACCCCTGCCCTACAGTGTACAAAATGCGGAAAGTGCAAAAGAGAAGAAGGGTTGTGTAGCAGCAAAGAGGGAGGCTGAGGCTCCGCAGGGGGAGCGCAGGCTGAAGGAACAGCTCTGACAAAGGATTTCCTTGGGGGGGAGAGCTGCTCCAGGCCCCCCAAGAGCTCCTGCTTTGCCAGCTCCCAGCAGTCAGTAGTGCCCCACCAGGCCCAGGTGCAGCAGAGGTGCACGGCACGAGGGCCCTCACTCCCTGACTGCAGCATTGGGCTTGATCAAGCCGTAAGAGACAGCCTGAGCCAGGCACTCCTGGGCCACCTGGGCCACCTGGGGCTTGTCCTCCGCCCTGGTCGCCACGGACAAGATCTCCAGCATCTCGCTCTCCATCAGCTTCGTGGCCACCTCCCGGTCGGCTGCCATCATGTTCCTCACCACTACCACACCGCGGTGCTGAAGCTCTGTGCAGGGGCTGAGCAGCAGAGACTGCAGGATTTCCAGCCAGTCCGCTGTCTGGGGAGAAGCACCAAGAGGCATGTGGCAGGCATGCCCTGCCCCTGCGACCCACTGGATGCCCCACCAGGCAGCAACCCTGCTTCCAGAGCGGGCAGTGCCCCTTGGAAAGCAGGCCTGTGGCAGAGGGATCCTGCCTCTAGCCTAGCCAGGCTCACAGAGCAAGGCGCACCCCCTCAGGAGCTCTGTGTGTGTGTGTAAGTGTCCATGTGTGTGCATGAGGGGGGGCTGTCTCAAGCAAGCTTACCATTTGGGAAATCCGGACACAGATCTGTGGCAGCAGCGAGGTCAAGACTGCCAGTGTCCCAGAAGCTGCCCGACGAAGCCTCTCATCTTCCTCCCCACTGTACAAAACCAGCAGTTTCAGACGATCGCTGCCTTCAACCAGGAACAGCTCTGCCACCTGTAGGAAAGATGAGCGGCTGTCAAGCCTGGCCTGAGGGGCAGCTGCCCACCCACCCACCCACCCCCCAGCCCGCTTTTAGCTGCTCACCTGTGGGCTCAAGGCCAGGTTGCACATGCACTCTGTGGCTGCCAGACGAATCATCTCGTGCTCCTCAAACATGTAGCCTTCAATCATGGGCACGGCCTTTTCCTTCACGATCTTCTGCCTGCAGGAGGCATGGGGAGAAGTAGCCCCCAAAGCCATGCCCAGACCCCCAAAGGATCCCGCCTCCCCAAACCCAAACAGGCCTCACCTGAGCCTCTCACTGGTCCCAGCCAGGTTGGTGAGTGCCATCAGCCCCTCGAAATTCTGCAGGCCGGAGCGAGTCAGGTGCAGGAGGCTCACCAGGGGACGGACCACCTCACAGACCTGCAGAAGAAAAGCGCCCAGCTCAGCCAGGAGTCCTGCCCTGCTCACGGGAGAGGAGGACTCGGAGAGCTGCCTCCCGTTCCCACCAGTGCTGGCCGGCACAGACCCGCTCTCCAGGAAAGGCCATCTCCGGAGCCGTCGTGATGGTGATCTTGGCCAGAGCCTGCGCGGCCTTGCTTTGCCCCACTTCAGTCCCCTCAAGAGCCAGAGGGATGAGCGCCTGTTGGGTGACAGGGAAGGGGGAAAAAGACTGGTCAGCCCGAGGCCCTTGTTGGGAAAAGCCAAGAGGAGGAAGGGGCGATACTGACCTTCCCCCCTCCAGCAGCTACCACAGCCCCACGGTTCTCCGGGGTATCCACTACGGCCAGGAAAACCCTGTAGCACAGCAAGACATGCGAGGGTGTGTGTGTGTGCCAGAGCCAGGTTCAAGCACATCCCCTCCCACCAGTACAGAGTGGCAAACGAATAGGAGCCCTTGTCTCCACCCTGCCCTGTTAAGTCACAGTCCGAATCATTGGGCCAAGACACACAGGATCCAGAAACCCTGCCGCATCGGAGAGCAACTGCAGTCGGAGGTGACATGGCCTCCTCTGGGATGCTTTCAGCTAGATTCCTGCAGGGGAGTGGATTGTAAGCTTAAACGCCATTTTCCAACATATGGGACTCTTATTTTAACTGAGGAGCCTGGAGGGGCCAAAAAACAGCAACTGCAGAAAGAGAGACTGGGTTGTATTTTTCATCCCTAGAGTCTCTGTTGGGCCCTGACACACACACACACATACTCAAAAAACCAAGACCATTCAACTAATGTTTTCCTGTCTCAGGAATGAATCATAATGCTAGTTTGTTCCAATAAGCCGCAGGGAGAAGATGCTTCAGACCCTTTTCCTGGAAGGACTATGGAGGTGCGTAGAGCCCATGGACTGCTGATTTTCAGGAGTCTTCTGCAGCGCTTTCCCCTCCCTTCCTTTGCCCAAGTACGGATCTTAGAGGAACCGCTGCCTAGCAAGGTCAGCAGCAAAATGGGAAGCTGTATCTCACAGGCATGTTCAATCAATGGAGCATCAGCCGATGTCTGAAGGTCTCTCGAGCCGTAAGTCATCTTTGCCTGTGGCAGGAGAGCGGAGCGCCCAGCTGTCCCCCAGGGACTCAGGCCATACACTGAGCAACTCAGCCCCACCTGACCGTTCCAGGTTTATTCGCCTCTGGACTCCAGATCAAGCCGCAGAGCCTCACCTGGAAATCAGCTCCCGGCAGGCAGGGCTTAAAGAAGGGCTCTCGTTCTTGACCATGCAGACAAGAGCCGAAACCACACCGGCGGCCAGGAGCTTCTGCACACGCCTGTGGACGAACTCTGGCTTATCCTAAAAGACGAGACGGGTGAAGGCACACAGGAGGGGGAGCCCTTTACAGGAACCTCCACTGCACCTCTGCCCCCCTCTAAGATGCACAGCCCCTTCTCTCCCGCGGGGCTTTGGTCTCCATCTGCCCGGGCGTTTGTCCTTCTCACCTTGGGGTGCTTCTCGGGGATGTGCTGCTTAGCGTATTTAGCAAGCTCCACCATCTGTGGGTCAGGTTCCTCAAAGTCATAGCTGCTGGTACAGTTGACCAGTGTAGAGGCCACAGCAAATAAGCAGCTCCGATTCTCTGACTAGGATGGAAGCAAGGAGCAGGGAGAGGGGAGGTTTATTAGGCAGCCCTTTTGAGTTCACCAGTCAGCATCTGTAACTTGCAGATATCCTGGAAGTCTGGAGTTGGATAAACGATCCGCTTAAGCCAGAGTGTTCCAAGAATCAAAACTGACATCCCTGGAGACAGCTGTCTTCTTCCACTGGACAGAAACAGCCCATCTCCCTTGCTTCAACTATCACACTTGTCTTATCATTAGGACGGATCTTCCAACATTCAAGCAGAATCTGTCTTCCCCTGAACCACCAGTCAATGTGCTGCACGACAATCTTTTCTTCAAAATGTTATTCTTTTATTGCAGACAAATGTGCAATACAGCCATTCTGGATACTGACATGGCACTTTTCAAGACAGGGGCAGATCCAGATTTGAGCACAGACTCCACCCAGCCTGAAGCACATTCTCACAAGCAGCAAGAAGTGAACTGTAACTCATAAAAGCTTATGTCTTTCTAAATCTAATCAGAAAAGATGCACACTTGAGTTTTTGCCAGCGTAGACTAACCACGGCTCTCCATGCCAAGAGGTGGGAACCCCACTGACTTTGCTTGTAAGAAGCCGGCAAAGGTCACAAATAGCGGCCATGTGACCACAGGACGCTATGATGTCTGGACATGTAAGGACCGTTTGTAAGTAGCCTTCATTCAGACCCAACGCAAACGTGACCAGTTCCTGAATGGGTGGTTAAGCAAGGATCACCCAGATTAGAATATGGCTGATGGGATAGTTTCCTCTCCATCTTGTTCAACTCCCAAAGAGGCTCTACCTGTGCCAGCTGGAACAGAGCCTGCAGAGCTGCGTTGTCCTCCAGAAGTTCTTCCTTGACATCTGCGTCCAAGGTGAGGAATGCCAAGCCTTCTGCTGCCCAATGGCGGGTGCCAGCATCAAGAGTCTCATTGCACAACCATCTAGATGTGGGACGAGGGGACACCAAGGCCCCAGCCATTCAGCAGGGAGCATTAGAATTTCACTCCAGCCATTAGGAAAAAGAGCTCAAACATGCCAAGTTATTTATTTATTTATTTATTTATTTATTTTTGATTTGATTTGATTTGATTTGATTTGATTTGTATCCCGCCCTTCTCCTTACCGGACTCAGGGCGGCTGACAGCCTTATAAAACCAATATTACAGTAAATATCAATTTAAAACCAGATTAAAAGGAAATATTTGCAGTGGCCTAAAAATTAAAATTTCCCTTAAAAAACCCCACTAAAATTCCCTAGGCCAGACCCGCTTGTTGGAAAAGCCATGTCTTTAGGGCGCGGCGGAAGGAGGGGAGATCCGGGATCACCCGGATCTCTGGGGGTAGTTCGTTCCAGAGGGTGGGGGCTCCCACCGAGAAGGCCCTCACCCTGGGGGTCGCCAGCCGGCACTGGCTGGCTGACGGCACCCTGAGGAGACCCACTCTGTGGGAGCATACCGGCCGATGACAGCAATCATGAAATACCAGATCCAGTCCATATTGCAACTACATCAGATCTGCTCAGGCTGTTAGCTACTATTCAGAGCATGCATAAAACATGTCACCCCTGGATCACACACACTCCTGGATATCCAGCACATTTACAAATGTGAAAGCAGCAAGCAATGCTTGATACCTTCTCCCCAAAAGGGTGCCAGACCAGGTGGAACTGAAGGTGCCAGAGTCTTTAGGGTAGAGCACCTCTCACAGCCAAGGAAGGGCCACACTCACTTGCAGCACTGCTTGGCCAGTTTCAAGGTGGAGCCTTCGGCAAACTGTTTCATGCTGAAGTCTGTGCCCCCAGCCGAGCCCAATTTACAAAGGCCCTGAAAACACAGACAACAATCCATCACACAACCTGCACTGGGCAGATGTCGCTTACCAAAGGCCTTGTCCCAAGCAAGCAAGGGAGAGAAAGGGGTGCATCTGAACAAGCTCCCTCCCTCCCTCCCTCCCTGTCACCCAGCCTAATCCAGAACAAGCTCCTCCTACTCACCACCAGAGCCCGGATGCGAATGCTGTCACGCTCACTGTGCTTGTAAATCTCCTTGAGCAGCGTCACCCCATTTGCAGTGATGAAGGAGGCACGCTTGGCCTTGTCAGCTGCGTGGATCAGGGCCTCCACAGCCACAAGTTGGTGAGCCACCTGGGATGAGGCACACAATGCCAGAATGCTCTCCATGATGCCATTCAGTTCCAGCACCTGGTTCCCGGCCTCTGAAGGGCCTTGCAGGAGACAGCTCACTGTCTGGATGGCCCTGAGTTTCCCAGGCATGCCGTGGTCCTGGAACCAATCCCTGGAAAGGAAGAGCAAGCGACC